AGACTCATGGACGTGACACTGAGAGGGCGTGAGACTCAAACACGTGAGACTGGGAGTGCGTGAGACTCACAGACGTGAGACTGAGTGAGCATGAGACTCACGGACGTGAGACTGAGACAGCGTGAGACTCACACACTTGAGACTGAGAGGGCGTGAGCCTCACGGACGTGAGACTGAGACAGCGTGAGACTCACACACTTGAGACTGAGAGGGCGTGAGCCTCACGGACGTGAGACTGGGGGAGCATGAGACTCACAGACGTGAAACTGAGGGCGCGTGAGACTCACGGACGTGAGACTGAGTGAGCGTAATACTCACAAACGTGAGACTGGGAGAGCGTGATAATCATGGACATGAGACTGAGACAACGTGATACTCATGGCCATGAGACTGAGACAGCGTGAGACTCATGGATTTGAGACTGGAAGGGCGTGAGTCATAACGGACGTGAGACTGAGTGAGCGTGAGACTCACGGATGTGAGACTGAGGGAACGTGAGACACACAGACCTGAGACTAAGGGAGTGTGAGAATCACGGACGTGAGACAATGTGAGCGTGAGACTCACGGACATGAGACTGGGAGAGCCTGAGACTCACGGATGTGAAACTGAGGCAGCGTGAGACTCACGGACGTGAGACTGAGTGAGCGTGAGACTCACAGACATGAGACTTAGAGGGAATGAGACTCACAGACGTGAGGCTGAGACAGCGTGAGACCCACGCCCGTGAGACTGAGGGAGCGTGAGATTCAGGGATGTGAGACTGAGACAGCGTGAGAATCACGGACGTGAGTCTGAAACAGTGTGATACTCATACACGTGAGACTCACGGACGTGAGACTGAGACAGCGTGAGACCCACAGACGTGAGGCTTAGAGGGCGTGAGACTCACGGACATGAAACTGGGGTAGCGTGAGACTCATGGACGTGAGACTGAGACAACGCGAGACTCGCTGATTTGAGTCTGGGAGAGCGTGAGCCTCACGGACGTGAGACTGAGGGAGCGTGAGACTCACGGACGTGAAACTGTGTGAGCATGAGACTCACGGACGTGAGTCTGTGGGAGCTTGAGTCTCACAGACGTGAGACTGAGACAGCGTGAGACTCACAGATGTGAGACTGAGGGAACGTGAGACTCACGGACGTGAGACTGAGGGAGCGTGAGACTCACGGACGTGAGATTGAGTGAGTGTGAGACTCACAGATGTGAGCCTAAGGGAACGTGAGAGTCACGGACGTGAGACAATGTGAGTGTGAGACTCACGGACGTGAGACTGGGAGAACCTGAGTCTCACGGATGTGAAACTGAGGGAGCGTGAGACTCACGGACGTGAGACTGAGGGAGCGTGAGACTCACGCCCGTGAGACTGAGAGGGCATGAGACTCACGGACGTGAGACTGAGACAGCGTGAGACTAACGGACGTGAGACTGAGGGAGCGTGAGGCTCATGGACGTGAGACTGAGACAGCGTGAGACTCGCTGATTTGAAACTGGGAGAGCGTGAGACTCACGCCCGTGAGACTGGGAGAGCGTGAGACTCACACACTTGAGACTGAGAGGGCGTGAGACTCACGGACGTGAAACTGAGGGAGCGTGAGGCTCACGGACGTGAGACTGAGATAGCGTGAGACTCGCTGATTTGAGACTGGGAGAGAGTTAGACTCACGCCCGTGAGACTGGGAGAGCGTGAGACTCACACACTTGAGACTGAGAGGGCGTGAGACTTACGGACGTGAGACTGGGAGAGTGTGAGACACACGGACGTGAGACTGAGTGAGCATAATACTCACAAACGTGAGACTGGGAGAGCGTGAGACTCACGGACGTGAGACAGAGGGAGCATGAGACTCACAGACGTGAGACTGAGAGGGCGTGAGACTCACGGACGTGAGACTGGGAGAGCGTGAGACTCACGGACGTGAGACTGAGGCAGCGTGAGACTCACGGATGTGAGGCTGGGAGAGCGTGAGACTCATAGACGTGAGACTGAGAGGGCGTGAGACTCACGGATGTGAGACTGGGAGAGCGTGAGACTCACGGACGTGAGACTGAGGCAGCGTGAGACTCACGGATGTGAGACTGGGAGAGCGTGAGACTCACGGACGTGAGACTGAGGCAGCGTGAGACTCATGGACGTGAGACTGGGAGAGCGTGAGACTCATAGACGTGAGACTGAGAGGGCGTGAGACTCACGGATGTGAGACTGGGAGAGCGTGAGACTCACGGACGTGAGACTGAGGCAGCGTGAGACTCACGGATGTGAGACTGGGAGAGCGTGAGACTCAAGGACGTGAGACTGAGGCAGCGTGAGACTCACGGATGTGAGACTGGGAGAGCGTGAGACTCACGGACGTGAGACTGAGGGAGCGTGAGACACACACATGAGAATGAGAGGGCGTGAGACTCACGTATGTGAGACTGGGGGAGCGTGAGACTCACGGACGTGAGACTGAGGGAGCGTGAGACTTAAACACGTGAGACTGAGAGGGCGTGAGACTCACGGACGTGAGATTGGGGGAGCGTGAGACTCACGGACGTGAGACTGAGGGAGCGTGAGACTCACGGACGTGAGACTGAGGGAGCGTGAGCCCCACGGACGTGAGACTGAGAGGGCATGAGACTCACGGACGTGAGACTGGGGGAGCGTGAGACTCACAGACGTGAGACTGGGGGAGCGTGAGACTCACGGACGTGATAATGAGTGAGCGTGAGGCTCAAACACGTGAGACTGAGAGGGCATGAGACTCACAGACGTGAGACTGAGAGGGCTTGAGACTCACGGACGTGAGATTGGGGGAGCGTGAGACTCACGGACGTGAAACTGAGGGAGCGTGAGACTCACGGACGTGAGACTGAGGGAGCGTGAGACTCAAACACGTGAGACTGAGAGGGCATGAGACTCACGGACGTGAGACTGGGGGAGCGTGAGACTCACGGACGTGAGACTGAGGGAGCGTGAGACTCACGGACGTGAGACTGAGGGAGCGTGAGACTCACGGACGTGAGACTGAGGGAGCGTGAGACTCACGGACGTGAGATTGAGTGAGTGTGAGACTCACAGATGTGAGACTAAGGGAACGTGAGAGTCACGGACGTGAGACAATGTGAGCGTGAGACTCACGGACGTGAGACTGGGAGAGCCTGAGACTCACGGATGTGAAACTGAGGGAGCGTGTGACTCACGGACGTGAGACTGAGACAGCGTGAGACTCGCTGATTTGAGACTGGGAGAGCGTGAGACTCACGCCCGTGAGACTGGGAGCGTGAGACTCACACACTTGAGACTGAGAGGGCGTGAGACTCATGGACGTGAAACTGAGGGAGCGTGAGACTCACGGACGTGAGACTGGGAGAGCGTGAGACTCACGGACGTGAGACTGAGTGAGCATAATACTCACAAACGTGAGAGTGGGAGAGCGTGAGACTCACCGACGTGAGAATGAGGGAGCGTGAGACTCACGCCCGTGAGACTGGAAGAGCGTGAGACTCACGGACGTGAGACAGAGGGAGCGTGAGACTCACGCCCGTGAGACTCGGAGAGCGTGAGACTCACAGACGTGAGACTGAGAGGGCGTGAGACTAACGGACGTGAGACTGAGGTAGCGTGAGACTCACAGACGTGAGACTGAGAGGGCGTGAGACTAACGGACGTGAGACTGAGGTAGCGTGAGACTCACGGATGTGAGACTGGGAGAGCATGAGACTCACGGACGTGAAACTGAGAGGGCGTGAGACTCAGGGACGTGAGACTGAGGGAGCATGAGACACACACGTGAGAATGAGAGGGCGTGAGACTAACGGACGTGAGACTGAGAGGGCGTGAGACTCACAGCGTAGACGTCCGTAAGACAATCGACATCCGGTTGCCATGACAACCGGGTTCTTTTTTTGGGCGTTTACACAAAACGCCTTTTCGAATTAACAATCCGTTCAGAATTAAGCAATTAGTTACATAATAATTTTTGTGACTAATCTTCATCCAATTCATTAAAATGCATTTCAGCCTAGATTAGCGTTGTTTGACCTTTTTTGGGGGGTTTTATTGTATTTATTTGAATCGGGCATTGCTTCGGACAGCTCGAGTTTTCGCGCCAAGAAGCGAAGGCCCCCAGCGTGCGGGGTCCTTCATACCCGCGCGCGCCGTCTCCTCCTCGCGCGCTCAACACAAGAGGCATCACAATAACAACCACGCTAACTCCCACACTAACTACCACACTAACTACCTCACTAACTACTAAACTAACTACCACACTAACCACAACAACAACTGACAATCACCGCACTACCACACGAACAACCACCACACTAACAACCACGACACTAACCACACCAACCACAATGCTACCACACTAATACACTAACTATACACTAACTACCACACTAATACACTAACTACCACACTAATACACTAACTACCACACTAATACACTACCACTCTAACTACCACACTAACTACCACACTAATACACTAACTACCACACCAACCACAACACTCCCACACTAACTACCACACTAATACACTAACTCCCAAACTAACTACCACAGTAACTACCACACTAATACACTAACTCCCACACTAACTCCCACACTAACTGCCATACTAATACACTAACTACCACACTAACTACCACACTAATACACTAACTACCACACTAATACACTAACTCCCACACTAATACACTAACTACCACACTAATACACTAACTACCACACTACCACACTAATACACTAACTACCACACTAACTACCACACTAATACACTAACTACCACACTAATACACTAACTCCCACACTAATACACTAACTACCACACCAATACACTAACTACCACACTAATACACTAACTCCCACACTAATACACTAATTCCCACACTAATACATTAACTACCACACTAATACACTAACTACCACACTAACTACCACACCAATACACTAACTACCACACTAACTACCACACCAATACACTAACTACCACACTAATACACTAACTCCCACACTAATACACTAACTACCACACTAATACACTAACTACCACACTAACTACCACACTAATACACTAACTACCACACTAACAAGCAGCACTTTTCTCTACTCTCGCCAGAGCCACACAGCGCGAGCCCCAGCGGCGGCGGTCGCGGCGCGTTGCAGGCGCCGAAGGGGGCGAGGCGCGCGAGGCGGCGGGAGACGCGGACTGAGCTGCGGACTGAGCTGCCTCGCCTACAGCAGCAGCAGCAGGAGGAGGAGGAGACATGGGGGTGCGGGGGGTGCGGGGGGCCTGTGGGGGGGAGACACGGGGGGGGGGGTGAGGATGAGATATGGGGGGGGGGCAGGTTTGTAAACATGGGGATGCAGGCGAGAGACGTGGGGGAGTTATTGAGGGGGGCTGTCACTCCGACACCCTGGGGTTAATAGAGACGCGTTATTAGGAGCCGTCATAGCATTGGGAGGAGACGTGGGGACAGTGCAGCGAGAGGAGGACGTTCAGTAGAGACGTAACGCTGGAGCGGCAGCAGGATCAGCAGGAGATGTACGGGACGCGGCAGGAGTTGCCGAGTGTGTAAGGGAGTGCAACAGGAGGAGGTGGTGGTGGTGAGCGGCTGTTACAGGTGATGCTGGAAGTAGAAAATACCGCGTGTGCAAGTGGAGGTGGAAGGGTTGCAGCAGGAGTAGGTGGTGTGTGTGTGTTTGCTTGATGGTATGCAGCGTGTGACGGTGCACGTGTGAATCTGTCTACACGTGAGTCTGTGTGTGTGTGTACACGTGACTGTGTCTGTATGCGTGAGTCCTGTGTGTCTCTGTGTACACGAGTGTGTGCACACGTGAGTCTGGATGTATACGTGAGTCTGTGTGTGTACGCGTGAGTCCTGTGTCTCTGTGCGTGTACACGTGTGCGTGGGTGTACACGTGAGTCTGTGTGTGGGTGTATACGTGAGTCTGTGTGTGTGTGTACACGTGTGTGTGTGTACACGCGTGTGTGTGTACACGCGTGTGTGTGTACACGAGTGTGTGTGTGTACACGAGTGTGTGTGTGTACACGTTGTGTGTGTGTACACGCGCGTGTGTGTGTGTACACGCGCGTGTGTGTGTGTACACGCGCGTGTGTGTGTGTACACGCGCGTGTGTGTGTGTACACGCGCGTGTGTGTGTGTACACGCGCGTGTGTGTGTGTACACGCGCGTGTGTGTGTGTGTGTACACGCGCGTGTGTGTGTGTACACGCGCGTGTGTGTGTGTACACGCGCGTGTGTGTGTGTACACGCGCGTGTGTGTGTGTACACGCGCGTGTGTGTGTGTACACGCGCGTGTGTGTGTGTACACGCGCGTGTGTGTGTGTACACGCGCGTGTGTGTGTGTACACGCGCGTGTGTGTGTGTACACGCGCGTGTGTGTGTGTACACGCGCGTGTGTGTGTGTACACGCGCGTGTGTGTGTGTACACGCGCGTGTGTGTGTGTACACGCGCGTGTGTGTGTGTACACGCGCGTGTGTGTGTGTGTACACGCGCGTGTGTGTGTGTGTACACGCGCGTGTGTGTGTGTGTACACGCGCGTGTGTGTGTGTACACGCGCGTGTGTGTGTGTACACGCGCGTGTGTGTGTGTACACGCGCGTGTGTGTGTGTACACGCGCGTGTGTGTGTGTACACGCGCGTGTGTGTGTGTACACGCGCGTGTGTGTGTGTACACGCGCGTGTGTGTGTGTACACGCGCGTGCTCATGAGCACTCGAGCGGCAAAGGCGACCGGGCGTGGTGTTGGCCACCCACGTCCTCGTGTGCCGTAGCGACCTTTCCCAGGTGCTGCTACTCGCTAACAGCACTTGCCCCTACAGTCAATCCATGCTATACGGGGGATCTTTGTGTACACGAGTGTGTGTGTACACGAGTGTGTGTGTACACGAGTGTGTGTGTACACGTTGTGTGTGTGTACACGTTGTGTGTGTGTACGAGTGTGTGTGTGTACACGTTGTGTGTGTGTACACGTTGTGTGTGTGTACACGTGTGTACACGTTGTGTGTGTGTACACGTGTGTGTACACGAGTGTGTGTGTGTACACGAGTGTGTGCGTGTGTGCCTGGGCATGGCTATGCCGGAGCGTGTGTGTGTTTATAGGAGCGGTAGTGTAGTGGTTAGCGCGCTGCGCTACGAACCCGGCGACCCGAGTTTAATTCCCCCTCACGGCCAACACCAGTGACGATTATTTGAACCCGTCCTGGGCCTCCCCTAGGTCGACTCCGCCTCAAATGTGTACCTGGTGAGGTGTGTAGTAAACATCCCCACTGGGGAGACAAAGGCGGCCGGGCGTGGTGCTGGCCACCCACCCCCTCGTGTGTCCACCCTTCATAGGTACTGCTACTCGCTAACAGCACTCGCCCCAACATTTAGTGAAGTCTACAAATGAACCTTATGGCGGGACCGGCATCCCCAATAAACGTTAAGTGAAAGTCGTATTAGGGTGCTCCACATTTTGAAAAATCGATTAATGATTGGAATAGTTTATTGTTGAATTTCACATACCCGTGACATCTTAGCCGAATTGAATGATGTTTAGGGATCGCTAACTGGTCCTTATTGTACTGCCTCAGACCGTATACGATTGTGTATGCATGATTATGATTAACACGTAGGCTTTCGCGACCATTAATAATAAAGGTTTTTGGGCGAGATCGTGGAAGTATAAATGTGTCGAAATCCTCCACCACTCGACAGCCAATCGGTAAGGGATTTGTCACATAAAACGCTAAATAGTGACTACTTGAGCCGACCGGTGTGTTGAAGAGTGAATCCACAACATTTACGATCTTGAGTATGACGTTTCGCTTGTAATTACATCGGGCGATTTTCCAAAATATTCGGGTGGCGGAGGGTTTTGACACATTTATACTTATGCGATTTAACCCAAAGACCTTTATTATGAAAGATTGTGATTGTGTACAAATGTTCACTAATGATTATGCGTGTGTACGTGATAACGATTGTGTATGAATATGCAATAATAGTGTATTCATTATTGTGAATGAATGATTGTGTATAATTGTGCATGATGTATATAAATTATTATGGTTGTGTATGCATGATTGTGTATGCATGCTTATAGTTGTGTATGAATGATTGTATATGATTGTGAATGAATAATTGCATATGATTATGAAATGTTTGTGTATGCATTATTGTGTATGGATGTTTATGTATTATCTATGATGTATGAATGGTTATGAGTGGGTGTATGATGAGTGTGTGTAAGATGGTTGTGTGTATGATGATTGTGTGTATGATGATGAAGATTGTCTATGATGATGAATGTTCAGAGGAAGTCGGCGCGGAGTCGTGAGAAGAAGCAGCGCCGCCAGGAGGAGCGGGCAGCACTGGCGGCAGCGCAGGCGCGAGTGCGAGCAGCCAATCAGGTGACGGAGAGGGACACAGCCCTACCCCTAACGCCACTCTTTGTGTCTGTGTGCTGTGTGTGGGGAGCGGTAGTGCAACGGTTAGCACTACGCTGTGCTACGAACCTGGCGACACGGGTTCGATTCCCGCTCACCGCCAACACCGGTGACAATCATCTGAACTGGACCTCCCCTTAGTCGACTCGGCCTCAAATGAGTGCCTGGTGTGTGTGTGTAAACATCGCCACCGGGGAGACAAAGACGGCCGGGCGTGGTGTTGGCCACCCACCTCGTGTACCGTGCCGGCCTTTATAGATGCTCGCTAACTGCACTTGCCCCAACAGTCTGTTAAGGCTACACGGGGGATCTTTGTCATTGTGTGTGCGCTAATGCTCTATTCCCGCTCTCGGCCAACAACGGTGACGAATATCTGAACCGGTCCTGGGCCTCCCCTTGGTCGAAACAGCCTAAAACGAGTATCTGGTGCAGTGTGGATTAAATATCTCCACTGGGGAGACAAAGGCGGACGGGCATGGTGCTCACCACCCATCCCTTCGTGTGCCGTGGTGGCATTGATAGGTGCTCGCTAACAGCATTTTCCCCAACGAGTCTGTTAAGGCAGTGGTTATCAACTGGGGTTACACGGACCCCTGGGTGTACGTGGACAATGTCTCACGGGAGTATGCGAGGTAATTTATAAATATACGAAATTATATCATATGCGTGAGAATCATTGGTGAATAATCACGTTGTATGAATCTGCCAATGTAAATTAACTACGGTAAAATCTAACTCCATACGGTATCCTAGAATACCGTAAAAGGCCTTTCTCAACTCATTGATTATAAAAATGTTGGTTTCCAACACTTGGTTGAAAAATAATTCAAGACTGGGGGCACCGTAGCCAAGAATAGTTGAGAACCACTGTGGTAAGGCACTACCGCTTCCAATGGGGTGGCCTTATGAATTGGGCGGCAGATTGTTTGGTGCAGTGGTGACACTTGTACCATGCAGTAAGAAGTCCCTGGGTTCGACTCCAGACTCTCGGGTGCCTTTGTGTGGAGTTTGTATGATCTCCCCCTGTTCTGCGTAGGTTGCCACTGGACTTCTCCACCTCCCCCCCTCCCACAGCTGAGCCCATCACCGCACGCACTCGTGATGACCTCGGCTATCTTATCTTAAAGGAATTCATATTGCGCCTTAAGTAAGGCGCTTTACTCAGAATTAACAGCAGTACAACAATGTACGAATGTGATGGTGGAGATGAGGTGAATGAGAAGCAATGGGGGCGAATCTGTGATGCGTGGATTCCGTGAATGCGAAATTGATACCTGTAAATGATTATGAGTGGATTGAATGAATGGGGTTAATGAGTGATAACCATATAATTAGAATATGAAGAGGGAACAGTAACAGTGGCAGTGGTTAGGAGGGGGAGTCATGGGGTGAGCTAGGAAACAATAAGTTTTGAATGAGGAGCAGAAACTTAGTGAGCGAAGGTGACCGCTTATTGTGGAGCGGGAAGTTTGTTCCAGTGAAGGGGGGTGAGAAGAGAGAGAGAGCGACAGCGTGGATTGAGCACAAGGAGAAAGAGAAACAGAGACAGCAAAGATTGAGAACATAGAGGGGGAGAAGGCGACGTAGAAAGATACAAGCGTGGCAAGATACAGTGGGGAAAGATCATGAAGGGATTTGTAGACCAGGGTGAGGAATTTGAGTTGCGTGTTTGTCAATGTTACTTTGCTTGATGGAGCCAGACATCCCAGCGCTGAAACATTCCCCCGCAAATCACTCAATTTGGTCCATAATACAGTTGTTTTGGGTTAGAGTGCATAAATATAAAAGTGTCGTTAAACCCGCCACCACCCGACACAGCCAATTAGTAAGGTTTGTCACGTAGACAGAACGTGCCAATTCATTACTAGTACAGCACACCGGTTGTGTGTTGGAGAGAAAATCCACAACATTTACAATCTGAGTACGACGTTTCGCCCCAGTAATTATAACTAGCATCATCAGGCGGCCGACAGACAGATTTGTGGAGAAATCCTGTTTCCTTTTTAGATGGAGGGACAGATGTTGTCACTTGTGATTCCCTCATGTGCGAAGGCCAGTGCGGGGAGGGTGGGGGGGAAGGCCAGGAGGAGCAGCAGCGTCCGCCCCCTTCTGCGAAAACTTGGCAGGACCCTCCCGAGAAAAGAGTCTTGAGACTCAGTGAGGCATGCCAGGGCAAACGAGCGTAAGTAAAATCAGAATGGAGGAGGCTCTCGATAATCCGCGTGCGGTTGATCCTTTTTACGGATTAACCGCGGGCCTGAGATTTTGACATAAATTAATAACTCGTGGATTTTCCCTTCAGCCCAAAATAACGATCTAAAAACAGTTAAGCATTGTTATTGTGGGAAATGTTTATTACAAGTCACGTACTTAAACAGAACAAATATGTGCTCTGGTTAATCTAAAATCCACACGATCGCCTCTACAGTACAGTAGAGTAGTGATATCTTTACAACAGTGGGTGGAGTGTGATGTTGATTGGCGTGGCTCTGCTGTCATCCACTTAGTGAGCGGGTTTTTCTGCGCCGGAGCAGGAAAGTGTCATCACTGAGCACATGCGTTGAATTTTTGATTTGTTCATTAACAAACTCAATTTCCTTAACTTAAACATAATGTATACCTATATTAAGTATTTTTTGGCATAAAGATTCGCGGGAAATTGTAATCTTTTGGGATTATCGGCGATTTGAATTATCCACGGACATCCTCTCCATCATTAGCGCGGATAATCGAGAGTTTACTGTACAGTGAAAGCTCCAATATCCAGGAGGGTGCCGGTTAATCAAATATGCAGGTTATCTGAGAGTTCTACTTAATGGTTTCACCAAATTTTCCAGTGACTTACAACTTTTTAAGAAAGAAACCAAGCCTACATTTTAACGATGATAGAAGAAATAAGATAACTCTTCAAGAGGCACTCACCGGTCAGTTGTAGAGCATTCTTAGTTGATTGTAGAGGAGCAGTGAGGCCATTGATCATCGAGTCTATACAGCCGCAGAGTACTGCGTGTACAGACTGCCGCTTGCGCCGCCACTCGGCAGCATCCTGGAGTTTCCGTAAACTACAGATCCATGATGAGCACACGGCAAGATGCCAGATGGTCGTCGGAGTTTTTACGGATACATTAAGGAAGATTTATATGTCGGTTAATAGAGCATTCTGGATGGTAAAGTGCCAGATTAACAGCGCTTTTTGCCGTACACCAATTGTCCCATTGGCTTCACGGAGTCTGTCGCGGTGTCCAGCTGAGCGGAAGATTTTAGTGAAATCAGGATTTGGGCCCTGGTTTAAAATTTTCTCACCTCAAGATTGACTAATTTTGGTGACACCAGGTCTCCCTTCTTGTTATTGTGAATATCATTGTCTCTTGGGATTTTTTGCACACAGCGTTGGTGAACGGTGCTTTTTTCAGGAATATTTTGCTGTTTTTTCTCGTGGATTTTCTGTTTGCACAGTCACATAGCCACTTTAAGATGTTTTTTTTGTTTGTGTTTTTTGTTTGTTGTGGTTGCACCCGATTCAAGAGTCAAATGGCTCACAGGACTATACCAAAATAAATAAACTGAAAAAAACTGAAACTCTTTGGAGGAGCTCTCGCCTGGTTAAACAATAAAAAACATAAATGGTCCCAGGTAAAGGTTGAGGCTAACCTGAATGGTGGGGCGGGTCCTTTTCAGAGACTGAGGAGGCCATACCCACTGTGTGGAGGCGGGGCCAGCAAACGAGTGGGCGTGGCTATGTACATCTGGGAGGGGCTTAGGGACGGGTTGCCATTTCTCACCCTTTGGCCCCCGCTGAGACTCCCAGAAGTGTAGCGGCGTTCGTGCGTGTGCATGTAGAGTGGGGAGCGGTTTTGTAGTGGTTAGCACACTGCGCTATGAACCCGGTGACCCGAGTTCGATTCCCACTCACAGCCAACACCAGTGTCGAGCATTTGAACCAGTCCTGGGCTCCCCCTAGGTCGACTCGGCCTCATAATAGTACCTGGTGCAGTGTGAAACATCGCCACTGGGGAGACAAGGGTGGCCGGGCGTGGTGCTGGCCTTCCAACCCCTCGTGTGCCCTTCCAGCCTTCATAGGTGTTTGCTCACAGCACTTCCCCCAACAGTCTGTTAAGGCTATACGGGGGATCTTTGTTTTTTTCTATGTTGAGTGGGGAGAAGTGGCACATAGTAAAACCCTCGTTCGATTCCCACTCACGGTCAACATCAGTGACAAATATCTGAACCGGTCTAGGACTTACCCTCGTTTGACTGAGCCTGCCTCCCCCTAGGTTGACTCAGATGAGTACCTGGTGCGGTGTGCAAACATCAGCACTGGAGAGACAAAGGCAGCTGGGTGCTGCTTGTGTTTAGTTCTTCCCCCGCACTTCCGATTATCACGGTCGGCGATGTATGGTGCCAAAGAAGTTCAACATCGGTACATCGTGTGTCGTGCCGGCCTTCATTGGTGCTCGCTAACAGCACTTGCCCCAACAGTCTATTAAAGGCTACAGAGGGGATCTCTGTCTGTTGGTGTGTCTCTATGTCACTGTCTCTGTGCCCCACAGCTCCAGGACCCCTTGGCTTCATGGCCACTCTTTCAGAAGTACGATCGCAATGGGTGAGTTCTGTTGTCCATGCGTCTGTCTGTGCTTAAACTTTCTGACCTGCCCCTACTGGACATCTGTAAAAAATGAGTTTCATAGCTCATCGGATTCTTCCAGTCGAAGTAAATATTCTGACTCTGTGCCTTTGCCCAAGCGTGCGTGGATCTGTCTCTCCTCATGTTGATCTGTATTTCACCATGCTTGTGTGTGCGTGTCCGTCCATTGGCGTGTCTGTGTGTGTCTGAGTTTGTGCGCTTTGTCGACCTATGTGTCCATACACGTGTTTTGTACGTTTGTTCGTGTGTCTGTCATTGTGACTGTCTGTGCTTGGGTGTAAGGCCGTATTAGTCCGTATATGTGTGTCTGAGGGGGAGCAGTAGTGCAATGGTTAGCGCGCTGCGCGAGGAACCTGGTGACCCGAGTTCAATTCCTGCTCATGGTCAACACCAGTGATGATTATCTGAAGCGGTCCTGGGTCTCCCCTAGGTCGACTCAGCCTCACATGAGTACCTGGTGCAGTGTGTAAACATCGCTACTAGGGAGATAAAGGCAGCCGGGCATGGTGTTGGCCACCCACCCCCTCGTGCAGTGCCGACCTTCATAGATGCTCGCTAGTAGCACTTTCCCAAAAAAATTGATCTTTGTCTTGTTGTAGGGGAAGCGTTGGTTTGGTGGTTAGCGCACTGCGCAATGAAGCTGGTAATGAGTTTGATTCCTGGACATGGCTAACATAAGTGGCGAGGGACATTGAACCGGTCCCAGACCTCACTCATTGAGTACTTGGTGCAGTGTGTAAGCATCGGCATTGGGATGAAAAAGGCAACCAGGCGTGGTACTGGCCACCCAGCCCCTTGGGTGCCGTGCCGGCTTGAATGGGTGCTACTCACTAACAGCACTTGCCCCAACCGTCCGTTAAGAATGCACGGGGGATCTTTGTCTTCACAGGATGAACGTGCAGATTGAGTGTCGCCGTGTTGTGGATCTGGACTCTGCCACCCTGGATTGGGCATTCAGCCTCACCAAGGAAAACATGCAGGCCCTGTAAGTCACCCTGTGTGTACATGCAGGCCCTGTAAGTCACCCTGTTGTGTACATGTAGGTCCTGTGATTCACCCTGTGTGTACATGTAGGCCCCGTGAGTCACCCTGTGTGTACATGCAGGCCCTGTAAGTGACCCTGTGTGTACATGTAGGCCCTGTGAGTCACCCTGTGTGTACATGCAGGCCCTGTAAGTCACCCTGTGTGTACATGCAGGCCCTGTGAGTCACCCTGTGTGTGCATGCAGGCCCTGTGAGTCACCCTATGTGTACATGTAGGCCCTGTAAATCACCCTGTGTGTAAATGCAGGCTCTGTAAGTCACTCTGTGTGTACATGCAGGCCCTGTGAGTCTCTCTGTGTGTACATGCAGGCCCTGTGAGTCACTGTGTGTACATGCAGGCCCTGTAAGTCACCCTGTGTGTACATGTAGGCCCTGTAAGTCACCCTGTGTGTACATGCAGGCCCTGTGAGTCTCTCTGTGTGTACATGCAGGCCCTGTGAGTAACTTTGTGTGTTCATGTAGGCCCTGTGAGTCACCCTGTGTGTACATGCAGGCCCTGTGAGTCACTTTGTGTGTTCATGCAGGCCCTGTGAGTCACTTTGTGTGTTCATGCAGGCCCTGTAAATCACCCTGTGTGTACATGCAGGCCCTGTAAGTCACCCTGTGTGTACATGCAGGCCCTGTAAGTCACCCTGTGTGTACATGCAGGCCCTGTGAGTCACTCTGTGTGTACATGCAGGCCCTGTAAGTCACCCTGTGTGTACATGTAGGCCCTGTAAGTCACCCTGTGTGTACATGCAGGCCCTGTGAGTCTCTCTGTGTGTACATGCAGGCCCTGTGAGTCACTTTGTGTGTTCATGCAGGCCCTGTGAGTCACCCGGTGTGTACATGCAGGCCCTGTGAGTCACTCTGTGTGTATATGCAGGCCCTGTAAGTCACCCTGTGTGTACATGTAGGCCCTGTAAGTCACCCTGTGTGTACATGCAGGCCCTGTAAGTCACCCTGTGTGTACATGTAGGCCCTGTAAATCACCCTGTGTGTACATGCAGGCCCTGTGAGCCACCCTGTGAGTCACTGTGTGTACATGCAAGCCCTGTGAGTCACCCTGTGTGTACATGCAGGCCCTGTGAGTCACTCTGTGTGTACATGTAGGCCCTGTAAGTCACCCTGTGTGTACATGCAGGCCCTGTGAGTCTCTCTGTGTGTACATGCAGGCCTTGTGAGTCACTCTGTGTGTACATGCAGGTCCTGTGAGTCACTCTGTGTGTACATGTAGGCCCTGTAAGTCACCCTGTGTGTACATGTAGGCCCTGTGAGTCACCCTGTGTGTACATGCAGGCCCTGTGAGTCACCCTGTGTGTACATGCAAGCCCTGTGAGTCACCCTGTGTGTACATGCAGGCCCTGTGAGTCAATCTGTGTGTACATGTAGGCCCTGTAAGTCACCCTGTGTGTACATGCAGGCCCTGTGAGTCACTCTGTGTGTACATGCAGGCCTTGTGAGTCACCCTGTGTGTACATGCAGGCCCTGTGAGTCACCCTGTGTGTACATGCAGGCCGTGTGAGTCACTCTGTGTGTACATGTAGGCCCTGTGAGTCACCCTGTGTGTACATGTAGGCCCTGTGAGTCACCCTGTGTGTACATGCAGGCCCTGTGAGTCACTCTGTGTGTACATGCAGGCCCTGTAAGTCACCCTATCTGTACATGCAGGCCCTGTGAGTCACTCTGTGTGTACATGCAGGCCCTGTGAGTCACCCTGTGTGTACATGCAGGCCCTGTGAGTCACCCTGTGTGTACATGCAGGCCCTGTGAGTCACCCTGTGTGTACATGCAGGCACTGTAAGTCACTCTGTGTGTACATGCAGGCCGTGTAAGTCACCCTGTGTATACATGTAGGCCCTTTGAATCACCCTGTGTGTGCATGTAGGCCCTGTGAGTCACCCTGTGTGTACATGTAGCCCCGTGAGTCACCCTATGTGTACATGCAGGCCCTGTGAGTCACCCTGTGTGTACATGTAGGCCCTGTGAGTCACCCTGTGTGTACATGCAGGCCCTGTAAGTCACCCTGTGTGTACATGCAGGCCCTGTAAGTCACCCTGTGTGTTCATGCAGGCCCTGTGAGTCACCCTGTGTGTACATGCAGGCCCTGTAAGTCACCCTGTTAGTCACTCTGTGTGTACATGCAGGCCCTGTGAGTCACCCTGTGTGTACATGCAGGCCCTGTGAGTCACCCTGTGAGTCACTCTGTGTGTACATGCAGGCCCTGTGAGTCACCCTGTGTGTACATGCAGGCCCTGTGAGTCACCCTGTGTGTACATGCAGGCACTGAGTCACCCTGTGTGTGCATGCAGGCACTGGGAGTCACCCTGTGTGTATATGCAGGGCCTGTAAGTCACCCTGTGTGTACATGCAGGCCCTGTAAGTCACCCTGTGTGTACATGCAGGCCCTGTGAGTCACCCTGTGTGTACATGCAGGCCCTGTGAGTCACCCTGTGTATACATGCAGGCCCTGTAAGTCACCCTGTTAGTCACTCTGTGTGTACATGCAGGCCCTGTGAGTCACCCTGTGTGTACATGCAGGCCCTGTGAGTCACCCTGTGTGTACATGCAGGCCCTGTGAGTTACCCTGTGTGTACATGTAGGCACTGAGTCACCCTGTGTGTGCATGCAGGCACTGGGAGTCACCCTGTGTGTATATGCAGGGCCTGTGAGTCACCCTGTGTGTACATGCAGGCCCTGTAAGTCACCCTGTGGGTCACCCTGTGTGTGCATGTAGGCCCTGTGAGTCACCCTGTGAGTCACCCTGTGAGTCACCCTGTGTGTATACGTGCTGGTCATGTGAATCTGCCCTATATGTTTGTGTGTATCTCCGTGTGTGTGTATCTCTGTGGGGAGTGGTGGCGCAGTGGTTAGCGCACCGCACTACGAACCCGGCGATCCGAGCTCGATTCCCGCTCATGGCCCAACACCAGTGACGATTATCTGAACCGGTCATGGGCCTCCCCTAGGTCGACTCTGCCTCAAAAAATAGTACCTGGTGCGGTGTTCAAACATTGCCATTGGGAAGACAAAGGCGGCCGGGCGTCGTGTTGGCCACCCACCCCCTCGTGCTGTGCCGGCATTCTTAGGCGCTACTCGCTAACAGCACTTTTACCCCAACAGTCTGTTAATAGGCTATACGGGGTGTATTTGTCTATCTCTTGTGTGTGTATCTCCGTGTGTATCTATCTGTCTGTGTGTCTATCTCTGTATCTCTCCGTGTGTATCTATCACTTTCTCTCTGTGTATCTCTATATCTCTGTATCTGTATATTTATCGCTCTCTCTGTGTGTATCTCTTTGTGTCTATCTCTCTGTATCTGTATATATATAGCTCTCTGCGTGTGTGTACATATCTCTATATTTCTGTGTGTGTATCTCTCTGTCTCTCTTTGTGTATGTACCTATCGCTCTCTCTGTGTATCTCTTGCCTGTGTATCGATCGCTCTCTCTGTGTATCTCCCTGGCCATCGGGGACAGCTACGAGCAGAGCGAGTGGGGCTGGAAGGAGCGCGAGAAGCAGGAGGAGATGCGTGATGAGCGCGCCTGGTACCTGCTGGCGCGTGACGGCGCCGGCGCTCCCCTCGGATTCTCACACTTCCGCTTCGACACCGACTGGGGGGAGGAGATCCTGTACTGGTGCCTCACTCACCCACACACTCAGCTCACCCCTCTCACCCTTCTCCCCTACCTCTCACCCACGCTGTCACCTCACCCCCTCACCTGCCCTCTCAGCTCACCCCTCTCACCCTGCTCCCCCACCCTCTACCCCACCCTCTCACCTCACCCCTGTCAGCTCACCCCTTTCAGCTCACCCCTTTCAACTCACCCCTGTACGCTCACCCCTCTAAGATCACCCCTCTCACCTCACCCTTTTCCCCTACACTCTCACCCATGCTGTCAACTCACCCCGATCCCCCACCCTCGAAACTACCCTCACACCCCACCCCTATCACACACCCTCTCATCTACCCTCTCATCTCACCCTCTCACCTACTCTTTCACCTCACCCAGCTCAGCTCACCCCTCTCACCTCTCACCATTCTCCCCTACGTTCTCACCCATGCTGTCACCTCACCGCTATCGCCCACCCTCTAACCTAGCTTCTCACCTCACCCCTCTCACCCACCCACTCACCTGATCCCCTCACTTCACCCCTCACCCTTTTCACCTACCCTCTCACTTCACTCCTCTCACCTACCCCTTCGCCTACACGCTTACCTCAACCCTCGGCCGGGCATGGTTGCTGGCCACTCACCCCCTCGTGTGCCATGCCCCAACAGTCTGTGTAAGGCTACGCGATGGGATCTTTGTTGCGCACAGTTACGAGATTCAGCTGGAGGGCCGCGCGAGACGGAGAGGACTGGGCAAGTTCCTCATGCAGGTTCTGCAGCTCATAGCCAACAGGTGCGTCGCAAGCCCACAGCACACACACAGCAGGACAACAACAACAACAACCGCCATTCACCACTATGCGGCGGAGACGTCACCACGGCGCTTGTGCCATGCTAGGTGCACTTTGAGGCCACATGAAGTGTCCGTAGGCCCGCTGGCAGGTCACAGAACAGGCGCAGGACTGACTGAGATGACTGGCAGATGCACAAACTGTGCTCCCCACTATGCTTACTCGTTGCTTAGCCCCATCTATCCCACCGAACTAAAGCTGCTTGGGCATGCAGTGGGTGGGCATGCGGAAGATATGACCCAGCCAACGCAGCCTCACTTGCTGGAGGAGCTCACCGATTAAACTGTGTCCAGATCTTTCAAAGATCTGCGAACTCCCCACACAATCCAGTCTGATTAGACCCAGAATGGATTCATACTCTTTGGTTCTATTCGGTAAAGTCACGTAGGTAAAAAATAAAACAACAAAAATCACGACGTTTCGGCCACAACACAAGAGGCCTTCATCAGGTGAAGGGATCAGGCTGTTTCGAGGACAGCGCTGGAGTGAAACACAGCCACGCTCAGACCGTGGACCTTTAAGCTGTGTGCGAGGAAACAAGGTGCAAGGCTAGCCTGAATGTTTCAAACCGGCACAGATGTGCCTTTAGAGGGCTCTACATTTAAACAGCGTAGAGAAGGGAAGGCATAACTGTAGCCGAGAAGACCCAGAGATTGGTATGGAGCGACAGTCCAGGTAGCTTCTACACAGCGTTATGCAGCCGATTCAAATATAATTCTGCTTGGCTGGTTCGGAGTGAGACCTTTGCTTTCCAGGATCTTTCCTGGTACACTGAAAAGGAAGATACCAGAGTGGTTATTGCAATCAGTGTGCGGTCCCCTCTTTTAAAAAATTGGGCTCACCAGGACATCCTTCAAATCCTGTGGAACCCGTCCTGTGGACCAGACTGTTAAAATTACATCATAAAGGCAGTCTGCACACAAACGCCACCATCCCTCAGCAATTCGCTTGAAAGGTCATCTCTCCCCGGCGCTTTACCTGGTTTCAAGCTCCGGTTCGCCCTTTGTACTTCCTCAACAGATGGCACCTCAGCCAACCACTCACAAGGAGCGGCTTCTTCCTCCAATATTTGAGGCACAGCTGCCCATACCTCGCCTCCACGCTCCCACACCCACTTCATTCTTTGGTTCAAAAGAAGTGCCACTCCCTGTTGTTTGTCAGTTTCCTGCCCCGAGTTGAGAACTGTCCACCCCTCATCGTGACTGGAGCCAGAACCAGTCCACCGGACCTCCTGTACACCACAGAGGTCCTGGTGGTACCGATCCAGCTCCCGACAGAGGAATAGAAGCCTCTCCTCCGCATCAAATGTTCTGACATTCCACGTGGCCAACCTCGGTGTTTACCAGCAGGTGTCACAGATGCCTCTGATCCCCGGCAGCCTCCTGCACCAGCTTACATGCGTGTTTACACCGTGGTTATTGGTATGAGTCATTGCTAAAGTGGAGAGGTTACCAGCACCCTGACAGAACACGCACAGCAACCAGCACCGCTGCGTGAAGTTTATCATGGGCGTTGTTTGACTGTGCTTCACCACACTGGTCAGTGCGGGTTGGTTAAAGGGGAGGCTGAGAAATTCCTCACCGAGATGCACGGCTTGTTCTCAGGAGGGTGACGCCACATTGACACTTCACCCCAACGGTCCCCAGAGCCATGGCGCGGTGATGAGAGCACTGTGGAGTGCCACGGTGGTGAGATGTTAACTACCTCGCCTGATATACAGGAGTCGAGGGTTTGATCCCGACCCTGACGCCTGGAGTTTGCGGTGTCTCTCTCTCCCCGTGGCCGCGTGGATTTTTCTCCGGGTCCTCCGGTTTTTCCCTCCACATTTAGAATCGGCATGGCTTTAGAGTATTTGGCTGCTACTATAAATTTCCACGTTATTATAAGCCACTTCGTTGAGCTATCATTTGTGATAGCCAGGTCGCTTCTGAAAAAGAGCTACGTAGCTCAGTGTAGGCCTTACCTAGTCAAATAAAAAGTTTTTTTTACTGTGCTACGAACCAGGTGACCCAAGTTTAATTCCCGTTCACGCTCAACAGCAGTGGCGAATTACATGAATTGGTTCTGGGCCTCCCCTAGGTCGACTCGGCCTTAAATCAGTACCCAGCGGATTGCGTGAAAACAGCGCTTGGGGAGGGAGGCAGACGTCCGGACGTGGGTCACGGCCACACCACACACCCCTCGGGCGCCGTGCCGGCCCTACTAGGGGCTCGCCAGCGGCGCTCACCCCAGCGGTCTGTGTGGGCTACAGGGGGGATCTTTGTCCCTCTGTCTCCCGGCCCCACGCAGTACGGAGATGAAGAAGGTGGTGCTGACCGTGTTCAAGCACAACGAGGGGGCCTACCGCTTCTTCAAACACACCCTCCAGTGAGACTCACCACGCGCTCGCCACACCCTCACCACACGCTCACCACGCTCGCCACGCTCGCCACACGCTCACCGCACTCAACACACACCACGCACCGCGCCCTCACCGCAATCACCGCTCACCCGCCACACTTCTTAGCTATGGGGGTGAAACCGAAGAGAGCCCGGGTGAAACCCATGCAGACCGGAAGGAGGAGCATGACATACCACACCACAATGGAGAGAGGAGCCTGATATCATGGGGACATTTTTTTCCAGTATCAAAGTATGAAAAATAAGAAGAGGTTTTACCCTTTCTGGCAACAGAACGTGAGGTGTTAAGATGTTCAAACACCGAATAGAAACCTTTTTCAAGGAATCAAGTCTGCATCAACCACACACGTGCTTATGTTGAACATGCAAACAAACATACTCTGATAATATATGGCATTGTCTTTTAAACTGATTGGCCTACAGCAGAGACAGCTTTCTTTATGGCCTAGTCTCACCAGTGTCAGAGCAGAGAACAACGCCAACAGGCGAACAGCGCAAACACATTCAGAGCATTTATAGCTCGGGGTGAGCTGCCCGAGTTGGGCAATCAAACCCAGGCCCCCCTTGTGGCTGCAAGGCCCCCCCGAGCATCACTACAGCTCCCAGCCGGGAGTCTCGCGACACGGCCGCGCTTGTTCCGGCGGGCGCAGGTACCAGCTGGACGAGACGTCGCCCGGCTACGGGGGCGGTTGCTGTGGGAACGGCGCCGGCGATGGCGGCGGCGGCGGTGGCGGCGGCGGCGGCGGCGGCGGCGGCGACGGCGACGGCTGCTCCTACGACGTGCTCAGCCGGCGCACCAAGCACGGGCAGCGCTCGCCGTGCTGCGCCCACGTGCACGCCGCGCAGCCGCACGCTCACCAGCACGTGCAGGCGCAGCCGCACGCGCAACAGCAGGCACAGCAGCAGCCTCACACGGCTCATGGCGAGTGCGGGTCGTGCTGCCACTGAGTGGGGATAGTGGCAGTGGAGGTGGGGGGGCACAGGGAAAGGGGGTCAGGAAAGGGGGGGGTCGGGGGACGGGGGGGGGGGGGTTTGATCCAGAGTGGAAGGGGAGAAGTGTGCGTCGGATTGTGTGCGAGTCGCTGTGCGTGTCGTTCCGTGTGTGTATGCGCCACTGCGGTAAGTGTGTCGGTGTGTGTATGCCACTGTGGTAAGTGTGTTACTGTGTCGGTGTGTGCTGTGGTGTGTCACCGTCGGTGTGTGTGAATGTGAGTAAAACGTGTCGAGTGTGTAAGTGAACACCACAGTGTGCGAGCGTGTTCGCCGCGAGCGAACTCTACGTTTGTTCATAAGCTGGGAGTGATCGTGTTAGACCAGGAGTGTGAGTGTGCGTGTCGACGCGGGTGTCCGTGCATCGGTGTTGAACTCACCCTTTTTGGACGGAGACGCTGAGAGAGCTGTTTTCATAGCGGACTATTTTTACTCGTTGGGGTGGGATGGAGGTCGATCATGAGTTTAGGAATACCCGGAGCCGGAGGACGATCGTGGAACATAGCAAGAAGAACTCTGGGCGTTTGGGAAGGGGTGGGGGCCAGTGTCAATTATAACTCAACGCAATAAACTCTTTGGATTTATACCTCCCACAGAGGGCATCCGTGTCATCTCAACACAGCGCGTGCCTTGAATTTCATACCGAGGTGTTTACGACCAATACGATTCCTCATTATTTTTATGAACAGGAAAACCCCACCGAGCCGTTGACTCTTTTTTTTCAGAGGCGGCCCCGGCCACACATGACATCTATGCCACGGTGCCGAGATGTTAACTACCTCACCTGGTATACAGGAGGTCGTGGGTTCCATCTCAACTCTGACGCCTGCAGTATATTTGGAGTTTGGGTGTCTCTCCCCGTGGTCGTGTGGATTTTTCTCCGGCTTAAGGTTTTTTCCTCCAGATTTAGAATCAACGTCATAAGTTTAGAGTATTTTGGCTGCTGCTATAAATGTCCATATGATAAGGCCACTTCGTTTTTTGCTATCGTTTACGATAGCCATGTCGCTTCTGTAAAATAACTATATAGCTCAGTGGGGCCTTACCTGCTAAAATAAAATAAAAAAAATATTTTAGATAGCTTATCACAGTGGCTGAGATCATCATCACACGTTGCAATTTACAGTCAGCCAAGTGATCTAAACCCCGCGTGTTGATTCTAAATGTGGAGGGGCGCAACACGGGAGGAGGAACTCGGAGAACGATCCGCGTGACCGCCGCGGGGAGAGAGAAAGAGAGACGGAGAGAAACACATGGGACTCGCCGAGTCTCGAGGATCAGAATCTTTACGATGAGATCCATGAAAGCTCTTTTTTCACAAATGTCCAGTAGGGGTGGGTCAGAAAGTTACAACAACAAACACACAAACACGATAGGAGCGCAAAGTATCGGCAAAGTAAGCAAATCACTGAAATAAACAAACTCAGCAATTTTTATTCTTAGTTTTTTCGGTAAAGTCACGTTGAAGAGAAACAACAAAATAACAATATATATAAAACAACGTGACTTTACCGAAAAAACTAAGAATATGAATTACTGCAGTCACGAAAGCTTTAAATCAAAATTCAGCAATTTTTATTTTACCAGGTAAGGCCCCACTAAGCGATGTAGCTCTTTTTCAGAAGCGACCTGCCTATCACAAATGATAGCCCAACGAAGTGTCTCATCATCGTGTGGAAGTTTATAGCAGCAGCCAAATACTGTGAACGCGTGGTGATGTTGATTTTAAATATGGAAGGGAAAGCCGGAGGGCCCGGAGAAAAATCCACGCGACCACGGGGAAAGAGAGACCCGCAAACTCCAAATATATACTACGGCAGCAGTCATCGTCAGGGTCCGGAATCAAACCCAGGCCTCCTGCATAGCCGGCGAGTGATAACTTCTCGTCACTACGAGGGGTTAGGTCAGGTGTCGGCAACCCACGAGTTGAGTGACTCCAGCACACCGGTGTGTTGGAGAGTGAGCCCACAACATTTACTCTGCCAACATCGGTGTATGGACGTAGTAACTATTTGGCATGTTTGTTTACGTGATAAACCCACTTAATTGGTGGTGGTGGGTTTAACAACACATTTTTACGCGATCTAACGCTAAAAGACCTCATGGATAATATTGGTCGCGAAGGCCTACTGCGTGTTAAGCTGTCTAATCTGATTGATTTCGACTTTTATTTGACGTTTCGCTGGAGATTACATCCAAGCACGTAATTCTAACCTGCTGGATGCGGTCAAGTCACCACGGCGCCTGTGCCAGGCTAGGTGCACTAGAATGTAATCTCCAGCGAAACGTATAATAACATCTAGATTTGAAGCTTTCGTAACTGCAGGAATCCATACTCTTTGATTCTTTGGGTAAAGTCACGTAGGTATAAAATAAATCGCGACGTTTCGATTGCAACACAAGCAATCATCATCAGGTGGGCAAACCACAGCAATATTTGTTTTGCTGAAGTGGGAGAGATGCCGTGGTAACAGGTTATATAGGTAAGAGAGGGGGGAGGGGCAAGGGAGGGGGGTAGGGGGATGGGGAGTGCTGCGTGGACGCGAGGAGAGGGACGTGAAGCTGGACGGGGGGAATTGGGCGGGGCTGGAAGTGGGAGGCCGAGAGAGTTGGGGATGGGGGGGGGAAGTTAACTCCGAAAAATAGACTAGTACCCGGCAGATATGATAGACAACCATAAAGCAGGGTTTTACCTGGTTAATACCATCCTTCCAATGATTGCTCAATTTGTATCCATCTTCTCGGTTGAAGTTATGTCTATGTTTATATATCTGGATGGCTTCATGAACAAATCTTTGAATGTAGCTCGAAGGCTTGCAGAGTACCTTGGTCTCGGAAAACACTATCATGGCAGAGGTATTGGTTCAGCTGTGTTTCAGATCTGCCTTGTGTTCGCGGACACAGTCCGAGATATGTCGTTTCGTTTCCCTGATGTAACTGCTGCCGCAGGTACAACTTAGTTTGTAAACTCCAGGATATTGCTTGTCAGGAATGACATCCTTCACAGATGGGATTAGATCACGGATTTTGTGTACTGCATTGAATCGGACCTGGATCTTGTGTTTGTTTAAGATTTTGGAAATATTTTTGCTAACACCTATGTAATGCGGTCCGAGTACCCATTCATCTCGAGGGCCTGGTGTACGTGTTCCAGTTCACTGGCTAGGTGGTGTTGGTTGTAAATGCAGTGGGCCCTATGGTGTAGTGTTTTGAAAAGGGAATTCTTCGGTGCCGGATGGTGGTGGAAATCAGGTTTCAGATGGGAATCTGTGTGGGTGGATTTCCTGTGGACAGTATCCGAACGAGCTGTCAGGTCTGTTCTCAAACAAAACATCCAGGATAGGTAGCTTACCATCCTCCATTTCCATGGTGAATTTGATGGATGGGTGTATGGAATTGATGCGGTTGAGAAATTGGTTCAAAGCTGGCAGGCCATGTGGCCAAATGAGGAATGTGTCATCTACATATCTCTTCCACAAGGAAGGACGTAGGGTAGATGTCTGGATGGCATCTTTTTAAAATTTCTCCATGAAAACATTCGCTATAACTAAAGATAAGGGGGAACCCCTGGGGGTACCTTCATTTTGTTTGTAGAAAGTACCATTCCAGGTGAAGTAAGTGTTGGTAAGGCAGTGCCTAACCAGAGTAGATACATCAGGATTCAGTCCATGTTGGACTAAGTCTTCAATTATTGCTAAGGTGTCAGGTACAGGAACCTTGGTGAACAGAGAAACTACATCAAAGCTGACGAGCAAATCATCTGGGGACAGTGAAATGCCCATGATTAGAGAGACCAAGTGAGCTGAGTTACGTACTGCTGAGGTCGTCTTGCCCGTACACAATTCAATAGAGTACGCAAAATCCGTGATCTAATCCCATCTGTGAAGTGTTGTATATATATATGCCTTTTTCCAAAAAAATTATATTAAGAATAATTCTGCCATTTGTTTAATAATAATCGATAAAATAAATAAATAAAACACCCTCAAACCCGCTACCTCCCACAAACACCTAGCATCTGGAGGTCGTTAAAGGTCATTAAATAATAAACTCCGGGGCAAAGGGAGGTTAACGACGATCTGCAAATCTCCAGATTGCCAAAGGACCGCAAAGGATCTGCTTGGCGCTTTGGAAAGTTCACAAACAAATATCCAGAATCACAGGCATGGACGCAGAGCACAGGGCAAACAGACATTATAACTGATATTTTTGTTATTATATATACACAGGAAAAGTTTGAAGCTTGGCTATAAGAATAAGTCGACATTATAGACTGCAGTATTATTTTATTTTTTATTGTATATTTCTATCTACGTGACTTTACCAAGAGAACCAAAGTACATGAGTTCCTGCAATCACGAAAACGTAAGTCCAAACTAAGCTATATCTCTGACCTCGAGAATAAAAAGCACGGATCCCTAGATGCAGACAGGGAGCAAAAGTTAATAAAACCCTTGACATACCGGAGGTAACATCTAATGACATTACAAATCTTGGTTAAACATAGACCAAATAATCACAAGAGATTAGACCTAGGGTAATTCAAAAGAGATACAAGAAAATAGGTCAAACACACAAGTCCAGATAATATGTATTCCATGAAATCAGAGCCTCCCCGGCCACCTTTGTCTTCCAACAATTTGACATCAACACATGGTAGCCATAAATACGTATGGAAGGTGCGTCCCCTCCCTCTTAGCAGACACCACGAAGAGAGAGGTTGGGAATGCAAACAAAAACAAACTATCAAAGGTCAAAAAGGGGGGGGGGGGGGCAGCCAGGCCGCTGTGGCCTTGGGAGGAGGACGGTGACAGAGGGAATCTGTTTTTTTCTCTCTCGCAAAAGACACGGAGAGAGGAGAGAGAGAATTTCACATTTAAGCACGGACATAGGCAATGCAGAGAGAAAGAGAGTGCTGCGAACGAGAGAGTACTGCGACGGGCAGGCTCCGGGGCATGGCCTCGACATTAGCAATGGGTGCTGTGTCTCGCAGAGAAGAGGGGCGAGGTGATGTTAGGTGCTGAGTTCGGCATGGACCGACAGTATCGCTGGAAGTTTATTCTACAGTTTTCCCGATATTTAGAGTCGCTTGCAAAGTCCAGGATTGCAATAAGTTGTATTGTACTAAGCTATCAGAGTTGTGTAAGAGGTGTGCAAATACAATTCACAAGTTTTGAGAGTGAGTGCCAGCGCCCACGAGCAGCTGCGATCGGCAGGCTCCGGGAACCTGCCACCGTGACCGGCACATCGTCAACGATCTGCACCAGCAGAAGCCACGAGTCTACAAAGTCAACGCAAAGAGTTGAGCTCTGCAAGCGGCAAGCTCCGGGGTGGGACTCTGCAATCAACCAGGGATGGGGAGACTTGCCGAGTAGCGTTGTGTCACCGAACACGAGTTCGGCGCTGACAGAAGAAGTATCGCTCAAAGTCATTCTACCCCGAGTGCCAGCTCCCACAAGCAGCTACAGCCGAGCAATAGAATAACGAGCAACGACGAGCAAGCATCCGGGAGAAAGGGTGGAAAGCCCAAGCATCGACCCAGCCAGCATCGCAGAGAACCAGCTGCAAGCGCAATCGAGCATCGCCAAAGAGCACAGAGCCGGAGAGAGCGCGCAGCAGCGCCACCAGCGCCTCCTACAACAGAAGGATGTCCTTCCTGACATGCAATATCCTGGGGTTTACAAACTGAGTTGTACCTGCGGCAGCAGTTACATCGGGGAAACGAAACAACATGTCTCGGACCGTGTCCGCGAACACAAGGCAGATCTGAAACACGGCAGAACCAATACCTCTGCCGTAGCTGACCATTGTTATAACGCTGTGGGCTCTCATGATATTGTGTTTTCCGAGACCAAGGTACTCTGCAAACCTTCGGGTTACGATCAAAGGTTTGTTCATGAAGCCATCCAGATATATAAACAGACATAACTTCAACCATGAAGATGGATACACATTGAGCAATCATTGGAAGGCTGTTATTAACCAGGAAAAACCCTGCTTTATGGTTGTTGTCTATCATATCTGCCGGGTACTAGTCTATTTTTCTGAGTTAACTTCCCCCCCGCATCCCCAGCTCTCTCAGCCTCCCAGTTCCAGCCCCGCCCAATTCCCCGAGTCAAGCTTCACGTCCCTCTCCTAGCGTCCACGCAGCGCCCCCCCCCCTCTCCCCCCTTGCCCCCCCTCTCTTACCTATATAACCTCTTACCACGGCATCTCTCTCCCACTTCAGCAAAAAAAAAGATTATTGCTGTGGTTTTCCCACCTGATGATGAACCAAAAAGTATGTATAACAACATCTTTTGCTTGCTTTTCAAGATTGATGTAGCCTAACACAAAAGTAACTCCGTATGGATCGATACATTAGATTATTTTATTTTCGTAAATGTTTTTCTTTTGGCAATTTGGTGATCCAAAGGTGGTCGCTCCAACAACAAAGAGAGCCGCCATTCGCCACTCAGTGGTGGTCACGTCACCACAGCGCCTGTTCCAGGCTCGGTGCACTGGAGCCACGTGTAGTGTCGGAAGGCTCCCTGCCGGGACTCAGGGCACCACCCCCTTACACACTGGCCCCTCCCACTCACTCGCCCCTCCCCTTGGGGTGTGGCGAGTCATTAACGACCTCGCCTGGTATGAAGGAGGTTCGTGGGTTCGATCCCCGACCCTGATGCTTGCTGTGCATGTGGAGTTTGTGAGTCTCTCCCCGTGGTCGCGTGGATTCTTCTCCGGGTCCTCCCTGCACATTTAGAATCGCCATCACTACGCGTTTAGAGCATTTGGCTGCTATACATTTCCAAATGATAAGCCACTGTGGTTGATGTATTATTTGTGGCCAGGTCACTTCTGAAAAAGAGCTACACAGCTGTGGCCTTCTTCTACTTTGGTTCTTTCGGTAAAGTCACGCAGAATGAGAATAAAATAATAAATTAATAAAATAAAATAACAATAAAATTCTCACGACGTTTCGGCCACAACACAAGTGGCCTTCTTCAGGTGAAAGGAACAGACCTGTCGGGACGACAGAGCTTCAATGAACGTTGTTAAGATTCGTAGCGTCTTTTAAGCTGGTTTAGAGAGGTGAGGCACCCTGACAAAGGGGGTTTACATATAAAACATGAAACTAATAAATAGCAAAACTCATTGGTTCTTTCGGTAAAGTCACGTATGTATTTGCCTCCATGCAGTTTGCCGTTCTCTGTGTGCCCTGTGGGTGATGTCCCTCTGTGTGTTCTGGGTGGGTGGCTGGCACCACGCTCAACCGCACCAGGTTCTAATTTCAGGCTGAGTCGACCTAGGGGAGGCCCAGGACCATGTTCCGATAATCGTCACTGGGTGTTGTTGGTCGTGAGCCGGAATCGAACTCGCAGCGCGAACAGCGACACCGCTCGCCCCACCCCCCACTCTCGCTAAGCCCCTCCCCCACTGGCCCCTGCCCCACTCCCATTAGCCCCTCCCCCACAATACCAACGGCCGCCATTCTCCACGTGACGGTGACGTCACCACGGCACCTGTGCCAGGCCAGGTGCACTTTGAATTTTGACTTAAAACTTTCGTGACTACAGGAATTCATATTGTTGGTTCTTTTGATAAGGTCACGTAGATAGAAAATAAAATTTTAAATTAAATTCAAAATAAAAGGACATTTGGCGCTGGCTGCCCCGCCCACGCTGTTTCCGCCACGCAGCTTGCTCTCTGAAAGCGCCTTATAAGGAGTTGCATTTGGAGGCTTGTCCCCCTCTTTTCTCTCCGCCTGATGAAGACCGCTTGTGTTGCGATCGAAACGTCGTGGTTTTTATTTTTTTATTTTCTATCTTCATGACTTTACCGAAAGAACCAATAATAGGTGCGCTATTTGTTCTTTCGGTGAAGTCACGTAGATAGAAAACAAAAAATAAAAAAAATGTAAATCAAATAACAAAAAATATATAATACAAATAAAAAATATAAATACCACTGCCCCCCCCCACCCTCTTGTTCTCTCTGTATGTCAATGGCTCTAGGATTTGGTGTTACATGTTATTTATGTAGTTTATTGTAAAAATTCGGTCACAGTCCTTGTGATCACTGTTACGTTGCAATTATGGCTTTATTTTTTGGTGATTTGGAAAACGTTTTTTGGTTTGGACATGTTGGTTTTGTTGTAGTACGGAGTTAGACTGATGGCCTTATTCAAGGTTTTTGTGGTGGTTGTTGTTGTTGTTTGACTTGCATCCCACTGGGATTTTTTGTACACAGCGTTGGTGTACGGTGCTTTTTTCAGGAATATTTTGCTGGTTTTTTTTCATGGATTTTCTGTTTGCACAGTCACATAGTCACTTTAAGATGTTTTTCTTGTTCGTGTTTTTTGTTTTTTTGTTTGTTGTGGTTGTACCCGATTCAAGAGCCGAATGGCTCACAGGGCTATACCAAAATAAACTGAACTGAACATGGGCACTGACCTGGATCATTCCAGGATAAATCTTTTTTGCAGATGACACGATACTGATTACTGCTGGCCGCTCTCCAGATGACATGATTGCTCAGCTCCAGGGTGATTTCAACAAACTACAACATCAGCTAGTTTCTCTTAAACTAGTCCTGAATACCTCCAAAACCAAGGTGCTATGCTTCTCACCGGGACTAAAGCAGGAAGTTATTTTTCCCCAATTACATTCCTTGTATAATTATCAAATAGAGCAAGTCAAGATCTATAAGTATCTTGGGGTCATCCTGGATTCAAAACTGAATTTTGAAGATCACATTGATTATATTGGTAAAAAGACAAAAATAATAATTGGTTTTCTGTAACGACACAAGCACTGCTTCCCCCCAATGTTCCGTTTGGAATTGATAAAAGCTACCATACTGCCTCTACTTGACTACTGTGACATCGTGTATAAATCAGCCCCAAGTACTGTACTGAAGAAGCTTAATTCCATCTATCACTCGGCCTTAAGATTTGCATTGAACTGCCCATATAGGACTCACCACTGTGATCTCTACATTAGGTCAAACTTAACATATCTTAATGTTCGACGGCTTGTGCACCAGATCTTATTTATTCACGATGTACTTACAAAAAAAATCCGCAGACTACCTACTGAATCTCCTCTCTGTTTCAAAGAACAAATTTGACCTCAGGTCTTCGCTCATTTACCAGCTTCACATTCCTTATTGCCGTACAAAAACCGGAGGAAGGGCCTTTGCTATTGATGCCCCTAGGGTCTGGAATGCTATTGCCAATAAACTGCAACTTGAATCACTACCTATGAGATCTTCACTCAAAACTGCTCTAGAAGAGTTGTACACCCCTAGCTGCCACTGCTATTCAGTGGCCTAAAATATGGCTCTAGGGTTTGGTGTTATAATTTATTTATGTAGTTTATTGTTAAAAATTCGGTCACAGTCCCTATGATCACTGTTACATTGCATTTATGGCTTTTATTTTGGTGATTTCGAAAACTTTTTTTTGGTTTGGCCATGTTTTTGTTTATTGTGGTACGGAGTTAGACTGATGGCCTAAATCTTAGTTGTCTTGTGGTTGTTGTTGTTTGACTTGCATCCCACTGGGATTTTTGCACACAGCGTTGGTGTACGGTGCTATTTCACGAATATTTTGATGGTTTTTTTCCTGGATTTTCTGTTTGCACAGTCACATAATCACTTTAAGATGTTTTCTTGTTCATGTTTTTGTTTGTTATGGTTGCACCCGATTCAAGAGCCGAATGGCTCACAGGGCTATACCAAATAAATGGAACTATGAACCCTCTGGCCCCTCCCCCGCTCCCACTGGCCACTCCCACGCTGCCACTAGCCCCTCCCCCCCACTGGCTCCTCCCTCACACCCACTGGCCCCTCCCCCCACTGGCCCCGCCCCTCTGCCATCCCCCCCGTGCCGGGTGAGTTGCCCCGCCCCCCCTATTAGCTCCTCCCCCACACCAATTGGCCCTCCCCCCACTGGCTCCTCCCCCTACTGGCCCCTCCCCTCTCCCCACCCACTCTCTTCCACCCCCGTGCCGGGTGGGTTGCCCCGCACCCCCCTATTAGCTCCTCCCCCACACCAATTGGCCCTCCCCCCACTGGCTCCTCCCCCTACTGGCCCCTCCCCTCTCCCCACCCACTCTCTTCCACCCACCGTGCCGGGTGGGTTGCCCCGCCCCCCCATATTAGCTCCTCCCCCCACACCAATTAGCCCTCCCTCCACTGGCTCCTCCCCCTACTGGCCCCTCCCCTCTCCCCACCCACACTCTCCCACCCCCGTGCCGGGTGGGTTGCCCCGCAAGATGGCAGTGGGCGCCTTCCCTATCGCCAAGCTCGCCTACCTCGGCGTGCGTCAGCTCAGCAAGCCGGTGGCGAACCGCATCAAGGCGGCGGCGCGGCGCAGCGTCTTCTTCAAGACCTACGTCTGCCAGCCGCCCGCCAACCGTGAGCGAGAAGAGGCGTCCAACGCTCCCGCGGTGTAGGGGGTGTAGGGAGGGGGGGTCACCTTCAGTTGTGCCGCCTATGCGGACTACCAAATTGCATTCGTGCGGGAAGTTTGATTTCGCGTCGAGGCTAAAGCGTCGTCGTGAGGTTGTTCGGCCGCCCCGGGCCGCTTCTGGCTGGCCCCGGGCACGAACCGCGGGCTGGGGAGAGAGAGAAGAGAGAGGAGAGAGAGAGAAGAGAGAGGAGAGAGAAGAGAGAGGAGAGAGAGAGAAGAGAGAGAGAGGAGAGAGAGTTAGACTTGTGAGCGGCTGCCCATAAAGCTTTGCCGTATAGCAGCACCCAGCCTGATGACGATTGGCTCCCATGTTCAAAAAGGCAAAAGATTTGACTCCTCGTGCCCTAGACTTGGTCGGATGGTTCCTCGATTCATTTCTGGAATCATTTCTTAGTGGACGGTGGCATCAAAATATTGATGCTCGTCACGTTTGATTGGGAAAGTAGCTGCTAACTCTTAAGTCAACTTTCTGATGGAAAATATGCAGCTCACTTGAAGGGGCAACAGAGACATCGTAAGACTGTTTTGTGAGGATCGTTGTGTTATCCTGCACCGGTGTACTGCCAATACTTACAAATAGAGAGGCGTCAGGCTCGGCTTGGGGCCGATCTCGTACCTTTGCTGTCGTTAGCTACACCCCATGTGAAGGCTTTTGTGGGTCCCTCGTTATTTTGGTTTAATGGCTTTTGGTGCCAACTTTGGGTAGCCTCTGCCTCTCCAATTAGCGCGTTTGGCTACGTGCGGTGCGCAATACATTCAGCATCCATACCGATTGATGCCTGTGGCCTAGCCTAAAGCTGTAATAACCTGCCGCCTGCTTTTACAATGCAATGCAGGTCGTATTCTGCGTTCATGCGGCGGCTAATATGTGACTGTATCTTAAGATCAACACGGTTGGCTATGTACGGTGTGAAAGAAGTTCACCATACATACAAGATGCTTTGAAAAGTAAACAAAAAAAATCCTGCATTTTTTGCGACACAAAACACCGTTTGTGCAACTGGGTTAAAAAAATGTTCCCGTATTAATCGTCAAAAATAAATGTTGCTGTGAAAACAATAAAAATGACTGTCGCAAAAAAAGAGAGAGGAGAGAGAGAGAGCGAGAAGAGAGAGGAGAGAGAAGAGAGAGAGCGACGGCTCTCTCTCTCTCTCTCCACGGCACGAGACCGGTTTGTGTCGAGATCGGCCTCGGTGGAGGAGGCTCGTGAAGGACGCCGCTTGCTTGGGGAGTTTGGAGGCCGTCGCCCCTCCCGACAACATTGCAGGGGCAGAGGAGCGACGCTCACAACAACGAGCGGAGAGCCGGGCCGATCAAATACAGCGATTTGGCACAGTGGGGGGGTACAGGTGGTGCATCGGCCAGCCATCTCAGTCGGTCAACCCATGGCACCTGCAGGGTCGGTCCCGTGACCTCAGAGAGCCTTCGACACTTCACGTGGCTTCAAAGTGCACCTAGCCTGGCACGGGCGTCGTGGTGAGGTGACCGCCACGTCGTGGTGAATGGCTGCTGCGTTTACCCGCGTGAAGTAAGACACCGCGACTTGCAACGCGAGTAGTATTTGGCCTACTCTTCCTGCTGATGCCAGACACACGGACAGGCGTGTCCCGTCTGTACCTGGTGGCGAACCCAGGTGTACGGCTGGCTGGGTAATCAGTCGTGAGCGGCGAGGTGGGTGGTGGCGGTGAGACACTGGCCCCCATCAATCTTAGCTGCCGCGCCGGGAGGTCGAATCGAAACGGTGATGAGTGTGTCCAGTGCGCCGCTGACCCCTTCATTCAATCGCAGCACGCAGTGGTCGGTATTCCTTGTCTAGTAGGGATTGCAGTAGCTATGAGATGTTAACTAGCTCGCCTGGTGTACACGAGGTCGTGGGCTCGATCTCGACCCTGACGATGCCTGCTGTATACTTGGAGTTTGCATGGCTCTCTCTGCCTCTGGTGAGATGTTAACTACCTCGCCTGGTGTACACGAGGTCGTGGGCTCGATCCCGACCCTGACGATGCCTGCTGTATACTTGGAGTTTGCATGGCTCTCTCTGCCTCTGGTGAGATGTTAACTACCTCGCCTGGTGTACACGAGGTCGTGGGCTCGATCCCGACCATGGCGATGCCTGCTGTATACTGGAGTTTGCATGGCTCTCTGCCTCTGGTGAGATGTTAACTACCTCGCCTGGTGTACACGAGGTCGTGGGTTCCATCCCGACCCTGACGATGCCTGCTGTATACTTGGAGTTTGCATGGCTCTCTGCCTCTGGTGAGATGTTAACTACCTCGCCTGGTGTACACGAGGTCGTGGGCTCGACCCCGACCCTGACGATGCCTGCTGTATACTTGTAGTTTGCATCGCTCTCTGCCTCTGGTGAGATGTTAACTACCTCGCCTGGTGTACACGAGGTCCCTGGCTCGATCCCGACCCTGACGATGTCTGCTGTATTTGTCTCCGGGTCTTCCAGGGTTTTCCCTCCACGTTTAAAATCACCATCACCACGCGTTTAGAGTAATTGGCTGCTGCTCTACATTTCAATATGATGAGAGCCACTTCGTTGGGCTATCATCTGAGACCAGGTCGCCTTCTCAACAAGAGCCTCATACAGCTCGGTGAGCCTACCCTGGTCGAGTTCAAAATAAAAACCATCGTGTTTAAGCGTAGTGTTAATTGTAATTGCGTTAGTGTATAAGTACAAAGGCATGCGGTTGATTGTGCGTGGTAGGGCAGTGTGAATTATCATGGAGTGCGTATACAGTGGTTTAGCCCGTAACGCAGTGCTAAGGGTCCTGTGTCAGTGTGCTGGGCGGGTGTTGTTGGTCATACCGAGCTCCGCCACGCTATCTCCAACGCTGTGTGGAGTAGGCAGCAAGCGAGGGTAGGTGGATCGTACACAGATTATGTTTGCGAAACTCCCTTCTGCCCCGCGGGTGGCGGTGCTGAGGAAGAGCCATACCCCCTGGCTCGCCAAGAGAAGGCAGGACAGGAAGTGGGCTCGTGGCCATCGGTTTATTCCATCTGTACGGGGATAGAGTGTTGCCCTCTCGCGCGATATAGCAAAATTGTGTACTCCCACCACCTGCTCCTTCTACGGTGTGATAGAGCGTTGCCCCCTCGCATGCATGAGTTTGACAGAGTCTTGAAGACTCTTTCAGGATGGGCGCTGCCAAGTTTTCCGCAGAAAGTGGCAATGTTTCCCCGTTGCGTGTGATCCCGGTTGAGGGGTGTGCGATGTGAAAATCTTGAAAATAAATATGGACGATGACGCCCTGTGGTGCTCAGTGGCCTCCACACTACACCAGTCCCTCGGTGAACAGTTACATTGGTTAACAGTTTTGCAGGTTAACGTTTCGCCTCCCTTAGTGACCCCATGGTTTTGGCTGGCATGAACAAGTGGGCTACCGTATCCGTGTTTACGTTATGCACGCCGGCGCCAACTCCGGCCAATCTTGAGTGCTCAGCCGATCAGCGACACCCATTTATGAGCGTTTAGACCTCGACTGGCTTCGTTTAAATCGCGTTTTATGTTGTGGCAGTGGAGACAGCCTCACTTGCAGACTCGGTGACTTGGAATTATGTTTCAACTCATAAGTGACTTCGAGGCACAGTTATTTCGGTAAAAAAAATTAACCGAGGGACGACCGTAGTCTTTGCGAAAGGCGTCGCGGGATCTTTAACGTCCGATGTGAGTAGAAATGAGGAGGACGCGTGGCGGGAGCGCCTCTACGGTTAATCCAACCGCAGCATTAACCGGGGCGGTCGTTGGTTTGGAGCCGCGAAACCTCTGCGACTATTTGTTATGCATCTAAATAGAGGTCACGCCGAGCCATAAGGACTCTTTTTCAAGAGGGTGCTGCCGCTGCTGCCACTACATTAGGTTTTTATTTAGTTCTTGAAAGATGCGTTCAGCCGATGAATGATGAGGTCGTGTTTGTTATTCACCTGGGTAGGAGGAAAAACCAGAGCAATGCCGGAGAAAACCCATGCCTTGCGCGAGGGGGCAATGCTCTTTCCCCCCCCCCCCCCCCCACCACCGATGGAATGAACAGATGGAGATTAGTCCACACTCTGCTGTACCGCCTTCTCCTGGCAGAGCCAGGGGTATGGCTCCTCCTCTACTCCCATCAATGGGTAGAAGGGAGTTTCGCGAGAACGTCTGCGCGGTGATCCACCAACCCCTCGTTGCTATGCCTCCACAGCGCCGGGTCGCAGGCCACGCCACGGGCACTTGAGATGTTGAGATGCGGCTCATGGGGTTCTGCCACCCCACCCCTCCCACCCACCCACGCCACCACGCAGTGTACCACTGGATCGAGATGAAGACCAAGATGCGACTCATGGGGTTCCGGGGGGCCCAGGTGAAGCCACTGGACCAGGAGGCGGCGGCAGAGCTGGGGGCTGAGCTCCTGGGTGAGGCGGTGATCTTCATCATCGGGGGCGTGTGCATGGTGGCGGAGTACGCGAGACAGGTGGGCACCACGAGTCGCATGCACGCACACACACGCACACACACACGCACACACACGCACACACGCACTTACACACACGCACGCACACACACACACGCACACACGCACACACACACACGCACACACACACACGCACACACACAACAACAACAACAACAACCGCCATTCGCCACTAAGTGGCGGTGACGTCACCACGACGCTTGTGCCAGGCTATGTGCACCCTGAGGCCACGTGAAGTGTCGAACGCCTGCTGGCAGGAGGTCACGGGGCAGACCCAGGTGCCACGGGTCGACTGACTGAGATGACTGGCTGATGCACCACCTGTGCCCCCTACTGTGCCAACCTGCTGTGCTTTAGCCACCCGGCGCTCCGCTCGCTGTTGTGAGCGTCGCTCCTCCGCCCTCCGTTGTTGTTGGAGGGCGACTGCCTCCAACTGCCCAGTAGCATCCTTCACGAGCCTCCTCCACAGAGGCCGATCTTGACACCGCTGGTACCAGTCATCGGCAAGTCCACTCAGCTCCACGTCCTCCTGTACCACATCACTCCATCTCTTCTCTAGCCCGTGCCGCGCCCGCTTAACCCCCTCAATCCGGCCAAACAAAAGCTGTTTCGGCATGCGGTGGCTGGGCATGCGGGCTACATGACCCAGCCATCGCAGCCTTGCCTGCCGGAGGAGCTCACCGATGGGACCCTGCCCAGATCTTTCAAGGATTTGTGAGCTCCTCACACAATCCAGTCTGGTTAAACCCAGGATGGATCGTAGGCAGGCCAGCCTAAATGTTTCCAACCGGCGAAGATGTTCCATTAGGGGGGTCCACGTTTCGCAAGCGTAGAGAAGGGAGGGAATGACCGTGGCCGAGAAGACTTGAAGCTTAGTGCGGAGCGACAGACCAGGTAGCTTCCACACAGCGTTACGCAACCGATGAAAAGATATTGCCGCTCGACTGATTCGGAGTGAGACCTCTGCTGTTAAACTGGAGCCAGTCATAAGCACACTGCCCAGGTATGGGAAACTCTCCACTCTCTCCACAACTGCCCCATCACCAATTGGGAGTTGTGGGGGTGGAGTGTCCGATGGTACAAAATACCCAGGCAGGTGCTTAGTTTTGGTGGGGCTGATGGTAAGGCCCCACCTCTTAGTGGCACGCTCCAGTCTCAGCAGCAGCGTCTCCAACTCCTCCTCTGACTGAGCAGCTATTACCAAGTCATCAGCATACATAACGTGGTTGAGCAATAGGGAGCCATCCCTTGACCGCACCCGGGCATCGATTAGCCTCCCATTATATCTGTACCATATGGAGATTCCCCCGTTACAGCTATTGAAGGCTTCACGAACCACGTGGTCAAAATAGATGTTAAATAATGTGGGAGCCAGAGGACATCCCTGTCGCACCCCAAGGTGTACAGGGAATGGCTCTGACTCCCGGCCACGTAGTTTTACCCGGGCCCGCTCACCATCATGAAGGTCCTTAATGATCGTGAGCAGAGGGTCAGGTACTCCAAAAGCACGAAGAACGACCCAGAGCCCAGGCCTACTGATGGTATCATAGGCCTTGACCAGGTCAATAAAGCAGAGATGTAGGTCTTGTTGGAATTCCCTACACCTCTGCTGTAGCAGACGGACAGAAAATATGGCATCTGTGCAGGACCGCCCTTTCCTGAAACCGCATTGGGGCTCCGCAAGCCTCTCCTCAGCGTGCCTGGCAAGGCGATGCTGAATAATCCTTGCCAGGACCTTTCCCGGCACACTGAGGAGTGAGATGCCCCTGTAGTTGTTACAGTCTGTGCGGTCCCCCTTCTTAAAAAGGGGGACCACCAGGGCATCCTTCCAATCCTGCGGAACCCGTCCAGTGGTCCAGACTGTTGTTATGATGTCATATAGGGCAGTCTGTGCACAAACGCCACCCTCCCTCAGCATTTCGCTTGGGAGATCATCTCTGCCCGCTGCCTTTCCTGGTCTCAGACTCCGGATCGCCTTCAATACTTCCTCAGCAGATGGCACCTCAGCCAGCCACTCACAGGGGGTGACTTCATCCAATATTTGAGGCACCGCAGCCTCAGCAGGGTCATCCTCACTTTGTGCCACGATGTTTTCCTGGCTGAGGGATTTTCCCTCCCCCAGGACCTCACAGAAATGCTCAGCAAATCTGCGAACCTGTTCCTGGGGGTCGGAAATTGGATCACCGTTTTTTCCCCTAATGATGGTAATAGGTGTGGCGCTGCAGGTTACTTTTTTGATGGAGTTAAATAGAGATTTGTGATCACGGGCCACTGAGGCAGACTCCATCTCCTCAGCAACCCGCGACCACCACCCATCCTTGCAGCGCCTCACAGCTCTCCGAACCTCCGAGCGAAGGCTGCGGTAAGCCTCCTCATTCTCTGACGTGGGATTCTGTAGCCGATGACAGTGGGCCTGTCGCTTTTTCTCAACCATCCTGAACAACTCCTCTGTCATCCAGGGTGTCTGGGGAGGTCTGGACCGCGTACCCAAAGCAGCCATTGCAGCTGCATGAGTCACAGTCCTAAACCTCGCCCATTTACCCTCGACATCAGGAGGAGTCGGGGACGATGCCAATCCCAGCCGCAAGCGATGATGAAATTCTCGCTTGCAACTTTCATCAGATAACTGAGACCAGGCCACTTTAGGTTGGAATGGGGTCCTGGGTGTACACCCACCACCGGAGTGGAAGAATGGCAGGCGCATCTTACAGATGACTAGTCGATGGTCAGAGGGCAGATCAGCTCCACGGTAGGTCCTGGTGTCAAGGACATGAGCTCGCATTCGCTGGTCCGTCACTATGTAGTCCAGCAGATGTTCTTGCTTGGACCCGGCATGCATCCATGATGTTGTGTGGATGCGCCGATGCCGGAACAGCGTGTTGGTAATTACAAGCCCATGGGCTGCACAAAAATCTAGCAGCCTCCTACCGTTGTTATTGAGCTGATCTGGCCCATGCCCTCCAATCACTCCAGACCAGGTGCCAGTATCATGACCAACTCGGGCATTGAAGTCACCCAACATGATGACTCTATCCCGAGGGGCCACTTTAGCCAGCACCTGTGACAGGAGGTCATAGAAGGCATCTGACTCATCGGCTTTGCCTGCATCCCTCCACGGATGTTCATCTTCGGTGGGGGCATAAGTAACCACGACCACCATTCCTCGCCTCCGGTTGATGGGAAGGCGAGCCCAAAGTAGCCTGGGGCTTACAGCTTCCCACACCTCACCGCCACGCTCCCACGCCCCCTTCATTCTTTTGTTCAAAAGAAGACCCACACCCTGTTGTTTGGCAGTCTGCTGCCCCGAGTAGAGGACTGTCCACCCCTCATGGTGGCAGGAGCCAGAGCCGGTCCACCGGACCTCCTGAATGCCGCATAGATCCAGGCGGTACCGGTCCAGCTCCCGACAGAGGAGTGGCAGCCTCTCCTCTGCAGTGAGCGTTCGAACATTCCACGTGGCCACCCGTAGTGGCTTTTCGTTGTTTCTGGAGTAGCCCCGAGGGTAGGTATTCAATCTCCTGGCTCCGCCAATTGGGGTTTGGCCAGGAGACGTCATAGACGCCTGGCCCCCCGGGGCCTCCGGCACAAGCTTAGTAGTTGCACACACACACACGCACACACACACGCACACGCACACGCACGCACACACACGCACACGCACGCACACGCACGCACACGCACACGCAAGTACAAAGATAGCCCCTATAGGACTAACAGACTGTAGGGGCAAGTGCTGTTTGCGAGCACCTATGCAGGCCGGCACGGCACACGAGGGGGTGGGTGGCCAGCACCACGCCCAGGCCGCCTTTGTCTCCCCAGTGGCGATGTTTACACACCGTACCAAGTGCTCAGTTGATGTCGAGTCGACTTTGGGGAGGCCCAAGACCGGTTCAGAAAATCGTCACCGGTGTTGGCCGTGAGCGGGAATTGAATTCGGGGTCGCCGGGTTCGTAGCGCGGCGGCGCTAACGGCTACACGACCGCTCCCCAAGCACACACACGTTCACTTTGACACGCACACACGAGTGGACCAGATAAACACGCGCACAACAACAACCGCCATTCGCCACTAAGTGGCGGTGACGTCACCACGATGCTTGTGCCAGGCCATGTGCACCTTGAGGCCACGTGAAGTGTCGAACGCCCGCTGGCAGGAGGTCATGGGGCAAATCCAGGTGCCACAGGTCGACTGACTGAGATGACTGAGATGACTGGCTGATGCACCACCTGTGCCCCCTACTGTGCCAACCTGCTGTGCCCTAGCCACCCGGCGCTCCGCTCGTTGTTGTGAGCGTCGCTCCTCCGCCCTCAGTTGTTGTTGGAGGGCGACTACCTCCAACTGCCCAGTAGCGTCCTTCACGAGCCTCCTCCACAGAGGCCGATCTTGACACCGCTGGTACCAGTCATCGGCAAGTCCACTCAGCTCCACGTCCTCCTGTACCACATCACTCCATCTCTTCTCTAGCTCGTGCCGCGCCCGTTTAGCCCCCTCGATCCGGCCGAACAAAAGCTGTTTCGGCATGCGGTGGCTGGGCATGCGGGCTACATGACCCAGCAAACGCAGCCTTGCCCGCCGGAGGAGCTCACCGATGGGACCTTGCCCAGATCTTTCAAGGATTTGTGAGCTCCTCACACAATCCAGTCCTGTTAGACCCAGGATGGATCGTAGGCAGGCCAGCCTAAATGTTTCTAACCAGCGAAGATGTTCCATTAGGGGGGTCCACGTTTCGCAAGCGTAGAGAAGGGAGGGAATGATCGTGGCCGAGAAGACCTGAAGCTTAGTGCGGAGCGACAGACCAGGTAGCTTCCACACAGCGTTACGCAACCGATGAAAAGATATTGCCGCTCGACTGATTTGGAGTGAGACCTCTGCTGTTAAACTGGAGCCGGTCATTAGCACACTGCCCAGGTATGGGAAACTCTCCACTCTCTCCACAACTGCCCCATCACCGATTGGGAGTTGTGGGGGTGGAGTATCCGATGGTACAAAATACCCAGGCAGGTGCTTAGTTTTGTTAGGGCTGATGGTAAGGCCCCATCTCTTAGTGGCACGCTCCAGTCTCAGCAGCAGCGTCTCCAACTCCTCCTCTGAATGAGCAGCTATTACCAAATAATCGGCATACATAACGTGGTTGAGCAATAGGTAGCGATCCCTTGACCGCACCCGGGCATCGATCAGCCTCCCATTATATCTGTACCATATGGAGATTCCCCTGGTACATCTATTGAAGGCTTCACCAACTACGTGGTCAAAATAGATGTTAAATAATGTGGGAGCCAGAGGACATCCCTTCGCACCCCAAGGTGTACAGGGAATGGCTCGGACTCCCGGCCACGTAGTTTTACCCGGGCCCGCTCACCATCATGAAGGTCCTTAATGATCGTGAGCAGAGGGTCAGGGACTCCAAAAGCACGAAGAACAACCCAGAGCCCAGGCCTACTGATGGTATCATAGGCCTTGACCAGGTCAATAAAGCAGAAATGTAGGTCTTGCTGGAATTCCCTACACCTCTGCTGTAGCAGACGGACAGAAAATATGGCATCTGTGCAGGACCGCCCTTTCCTGAAACCGCATTGGGGCTCTGCAAGCCTCTCCTCAGCGTGTCTGGCAAGGCGATGTTGAATAATCCTTGCCAGGAACTTTCCCGGCACACTGAGGAGTGAGATGCCCCTATAGTTGTTACAGTCTGTGCGGTCCCCCTTCTTAAAGAGGGGGACCACCAGGGCATCTTTCCAATCCTGTGGAACCCGTCCAGTGGTCCAGACTGTTGTTATGATGTCATATAGGGCAGTCTGTGCACAAACGCCACCCTCCCTCAGCATTTCGCTTGGAAGATCATCTCTGCCCATTGCCTTTCGTGGTCTCAGACTTTGGATCGCCTTCAGTATTTCCTCAACAGATGGCACCTCAGCCAGCCACTCACAGGGGGTGACTTCTTCCAATATTTGAGGCACTGCAGCCTCAGCAGGATCATCCTCACTTTGTGTCACGATGTTTTCCTGGCTGAGGGATTTCCCCTCCCCCAGGACCTCACAGAAATGCTCAGAAAATCTGCAAGCCTGTTCCTGGGGGTCGGAGATTGGATCACCGTTTTTTCCCCTAATGATGGTAATAGGTGTGGCGCTGCAGGTTACTTTTTTGATGGAGTTAAATAGAGATTTGTGATCGCGGGCCACTGAGGCAGACTCCATCTCCTCAGCAACCCGCGACCACCACCCATCCTTGCAGTGCCTCACGGCTCTCCGAACCTCCGAGCGAAGGCTGTGGTAAGCCTCCTCATTCTCTGACGTGGGATTCTGTAGCCGATGACAGTGGGCCTGTCGCTTTTTCTCAACCATCCTGAACACCTCCTCTGTCAGCCAGGATCTCTGGGGAGATCTGGACCACGTACCTAAAGCAGCCATTGCAGCTGCATGAGTCACAGTCCTAAACCTCGCCCATTTACCCTCGACATCAGGAGGAGTGGGGGACGATGCTAATCTTAGCCGCAAGCGATGATGAAATTCTCGCTTGCAACTTTCATCAGATAACTGAGACCAGGCCACTTTAGGTTGGAATGGAGTCCTGGGTGTACACCCACCACCGGAGTGGAAGAATGGCAGGCGCATCTTACAGATGACTAGTCGATGGTCAGAGGGCAGATCAGCTCCACGATAGGTCCTGGTGTCAAGGACATGGGCTCGCATCCGCTGGTCCGTCACTATGTAGTCCAGCAGATGTTCTTGCTTGGACCCGGCATGCATCCATGATGTTGTGTGGATGCGCCGATGCCGGAACAGCGTGTTGGTAATTACAAGCCCATGGGCTGCACAAAAATCTAGCAGCCTCCTACCGTTGTTATTGAGCTGATCTGGCCCATGCCCTCCAATCACTCCAGACCAGGTGCCAGCATCATGACCAACTCAGGCATTGAAGTCACCCAACATGATGACTCTATCCCGAGGTGCCACTTTAGCCAGCACCTGTGACAGGAGGTCATAGAAGGCATCTGACTGATCGGCTTTACCTGCATCCCTCCACGGATGTTCATCTTCGGTGGGGGCATAAGTAACCACGACCACCACTCCTCGCCTCCGGTTGATGGGAAGGCGAGCCCAAAGTAGCCTGGGGCTTACAGCTTCTCACACCTTACCACCACGCTCCCACTCCCCCTTCATTCTTTTGTTCAAAAGAAGAGCCACACCCTGTTGTTTGGCAGTATGCTGCCCCGAGTAGAGGACTGTCCATCCCTCATGGTGGCAGGAGTCAGAACCGGTCCACCAGACCTCCTGAATGCCACAGAGATCCAGGCGGTACCGGTCCAGCTCCCGACAGAGGAGTGGCAGCTTCTCCTCTGCAGTGAGCGTTCGAACATTCCACGTGGCCATCCGTAGTGGCTTTTCGTTGTTTCTGGAGGAGCCCCGAGGGTATAGATTCAATCTCCTGGCTCCGCCAATTGGGGTTTGGCCAGGAGACGTCATAGACGCCTGTCCCCCCGGGGCCTCCGGCACAAGCTTATTAGTTACATATTTCAGTTTAACTTGTGGTTTAGTGGTAATTAATTGAAGGTGGAGGGGTTACCAGCCCCTCGCACCCATCCAGAGCCCCCGTTTATCCACTGTGATGGACACAGGCGCCATGAGGGGAGGAGCCAATCGGAATTGGCCCTCCCCCCACAGCACTGTCCACGACAGAGTTGCCCGTCCGGCACCGCAAGGAGGTAGGGGGTTGTTTTGCCGGACACACACACACACGCACACACATACACATACACGCACACATGCACACACATACGCACACACATACACACACACATACACGCACACACACATACAACAACCGCCATTCGCCACTAAGTTGCGGTGACGTCACCACAACGCTTGTGCCAGGACATGTGCACCTTGAGGCCACATGGAGTGTCGAGCGCCCGCTGGCAGGAGGTCACGGGGCAGACCCAGGTGCCACGGGTCGACTGAGATGATTGGCTGATGCACCACCTGTGCCCCCTACTGTGCCAACCTGCTTTGCTTTAGCCACCCGGCACTCCGCTCGTTGTTGTGAGCATCGCTCCTCTGCCCTCCGTTGTTGTTGGAGGGCGACTGCCTCCAACTGCCCAGTAGCATCCTTCACGAGCCTCCTCCACAGAGGCCGATCTTGACACCGCTGGTACCAGTCATCGGCAAGTCCACTCAGCTCCACGTCCTCCTGTACCACATCACTCCATCTCTTCTCTAGCCCGTGCCGCACCCGTTTAGCCCCCTCGATCCGGCCAAACAAAAGCTGTTTCGGCATGCGGTGGCTGGGCATGTGGGCTACATGACCCAGCCATCGCAGCCTTGCCCGCCGGAGGAGCTCACCGATGGGACCTTGCCCATATCTTTACCACGAAACTACGACACACATACACACACACGCGCACACACACGCACCTCGTGCATTCCGTGCCATTTCTGCTCCCGTCTCAGAACGCCAACTCTCGGCGCAAAGAGGCCGAGCTGACGGCTCAGCTGGACGCGCTGCAGTTCCAAATCGACGCGCTCCGAGATCAAGTCTCGCCGCCGCCTCCACCGCCTCACGGCGGCCACACCGCCTCCTCCGCCACCGCGTCAGCCACCACTACAACCGCCGAACCAACGAGGACCGCCCCCGACGCTCACAGCCAAACGCGCAGCGAGAGGCCCTGCCTGAAATGAACTTGGGTGGAGGAATGGAACCCCCCACCCCCGTACCCCGCCTACCCCCGCCCACCCTGCGTGGTGGGGAAGGACGGAGGTTCCGTCGACCCCATCTGGGGTGCTGCAGCTGTCGCTGCCTCCTCTTGCTCCTCCTCGTTAAATGTCGTCGCTGTGACGATGACTGATCGATTTTTGTTTTTTGCGAGAAATGTGACGACGTTGCGAGTGCGTGCGTGAGTGCGTGCGTGCGTGTGTGAGTGCGTGCGTGAGTGCGTGCGTGCGTGCGTGAGTGCGTGTGTGAGTGCGTGCGTGAGTGCGTGAGTGCGTGCGTGCGTGCGTGAGTGCGTGCGTGAGTGCGTGCGTGAGTGCGTGCGCGGTCGGCGGGAGCTGGTTGTGAGATATATGCCGATCGGATAAAGCCGCCAAGGATATCTTGGGGGGAGCTGTAGCCCAGGCCTCGATGGCGACGGGGAAAGGTTGAATGTAGCGCTTGTGGTGGTTGTCTGCGGCGCCTGTCCCGCTATCACCGTCTCTCTGGACAGCTTCAGGGACCGTTCAGTCTGGGGGGGGGGACCCCTTATCAGGGTCCGAGCAACCAAGCACTTAATACTAAAAAAAATTCAGATTCGAGCTGGCCGTCACAACTGATAGCTCAGCCAAATGGCTCATCTTCATCATCGTATGGAAATTTATAGCACCCAAATACCCTAAACAATGTGACGTTGATTCTAAATGTGGAGGGAAAAACCGGAGGACCAGGAGAAAAATCCACGCGACCATGGGGAGAGAGAGAGAGAGAGAGATGCGCAAACTCCAAATAAACCTTAGACCGGTTTCGATTTTCAGTATCTCATCAGTGTGGCTTTCCTCAACCAATTCTGGTTTAACTTTTCCCTTTCCTCCCACGCCTACCCCCCATCAGACCCATCAGACGCAGGTCCCCATCAGACGCAGGTCCCCATCAGACGCAGGTCCCCATCAGACGCAGGTCCCCATCAGACGCAGGTCCCCATCAGACGCAGGTCCCCATCAGACGCAGGTCCCCATCAGACGCAGGTCCCCATCAGACGCAGGTCCCCATCAGACGCAGGTCCCCATCAGACGCAGGTCCCCATCAGACGGAGGTCCCCATCAGACGCAGGTCCCCATCAGACGCAGGTCCCCATCAGACGCAGGTCCCCATCAGACGCAGGTCCCCATCAGACTCAGGTCCCCATCAGACGCAGGTCCCCATCAGACGCAGGTCCCCATCAGACGCAGGTCCCCATCAGACGCAGGTCCCCATCAGACGCAGGTCAGCCTGTCGCTGCCGAGAGACCTCCACCGGGAGCCCGCTTGGTTTGTCCGCTTCACTCGACGGTTTTCCGTTGCCGCTGGTTGTCAAAGTCTCTTTATGCCGCGCGACCTCGCGACCTCGCCTGGCCTCTAGGCCACCGCTGCGCTGGCAGTAATGGGAAGTAGAGCCCAAGCCCACAGTCTGTTCTCCTACAAACGCGTGTTTTACCAACACAACTACTTCGGCGTTGTAGGAGAACGGGACTCTATTGGAGGAATTGGATTGAGCTGAAATGAAGCTCTTTTTCACAGATGTCTGGTAACTATAAACCATTTTTATTTTTACCAGGTACGGCCCACTGAGCTATATGGAAGCGACCTGACCACAATTGATAGCTCAACACGAAGTGGCTCGTCGTCATCCTCATCGTCGTCATGTTGGGAATTTGTTGCAGCCAAATAGAGTCCGTTCTCCTGTCACACGTGTTGTTGTTTTCACAACGCGAATTGGATATATAGTAACGCGATGAATGTATGGAGGGGGACGCATTTTTCTCACATCGCGGGATGCGAATCGGATATAACGCGATCGAGCGAACGGAACTATGTCGAACGCCACGAGGGATAAAGCGGTCGCACGGCCGCCTTGGCGTATCATCATCGTCATCGCACGAGGCAGTGGGATGATGCTGGATGATACTTCTAGACGCTACCCTCGGTCTTTGTTCAGTCTGCGTTACGCATCTCGCGTGTTCTCACGGACTGCGCTTTACCCCTATGTATTATTATTTATTGTAACGTGGTTCTTCCATAATGCGGTGTTCCTCAGGGACGCGACATCTCCCGCATTATAAAGAGAACGGACTGTCCGGGAGGAATCCGATTGAGCGATATGAAGCTGCTTCACAGATGCCTAGTAACTATAAACGATTTTTATTTTACCGGGCAAGGCCCGCTGAGCTACAATAACCCTCATTCAGAAGCGACCTGGCGATCACAAATCATAGCTCGACAACGAAGTGGGCTTATTGTCACGTGCAAATTTATAGCAGCCAAACACTCGTCAATTCTAAATGTGAAGGAAAAAACCGGTGGACCCGGAGAAAAATCCACGTGACCATGGGGAGAGAGACACGCATACTCCAAATATACAGCAGGTGTCATGGTCAGGATTGAACCCACAATCTCCTGTATACCAGGAGAGGTAGTTAACAACTCGCCACTAAAGGCTCCCTGGGCACAAAATTACAATCCGTACTGCACAAGAGGAATACCGACCACAGTGTGCTGTAATGAGTGGTTCAACGGCGCACAGGATTTGCTCACCCAAAGGTCACCGCCAAACTCCAAAATATAGAGCAGGTCCGGGATCGAGCCCACGACGCCCTGCATACCAGGCGAGGTAGTTAACTTTTAGAGAGGACTGTAGTCCAAACACCCCGAGAGACTCGGGAGCCACCAACCCATCCACCCCCCCCCCCCCCCGGTTTCCGGTTTGACCGCTCACCCACGGGAGTTTCACGTCCCGTCACGCGTCCGCCCGCGTTGAGCCAAGAGAGGGCAGGGCCTATCGTGGCGCTTGCTGTCCGCGTTGCTGGAGCGGCCGTCAGTCCGTGGTCGCTCCTCACGCGTCGGCACGGCCGTGGCGAACCAACGAGGCCGCCCCCCGCGTGGATTCCGGACGACGCGCGACGGCGATTATTTATTGATGTTTGCGAGCAACTTGTGGCCTTTGCTGGGGTCGATGAGGGCCCCTTTCCCAAAGGCGGTTGTTTGACCATACTTCACCACGCCGGCCGTGGCCAGGAACGCGGAGCGTGGCAACCGCTGGGCCACCACTCTGGCTGCGCTGCTCCGACCGTTCGAGAGTGGTGATGCGGATTGGCGCGGGGGGAGGGTGGAGGGGGGGAGGCTCGCCAGAGTCTCGAGGCCTTATTTAAAGAGGCCGCTGCTCCAGTTTGGAATGTTTCATCACCAACTCATTGAACGACGCGAAGAGTTTGGGAGGAGAGACACCAAATACAGCGGGCGGTGACGCGCAAAGCTACGTACAGATGGATTCAATAATCCATTCTAGTACCGCCATCACCTGGTCACCTCGCGGCCACGGTCCATGACGGCCCAGCAGTCTTCCCCAATCCCAAGTTCAATCCCAAGTGACGACCCGGACTCAAACCGGTTGCCAACGGGACCTCTCGCGGCGGCTCAACAAAGGGTGTCACAGTGCACCTCGGCGGATCCACCGCCAACGTTAAATGAAGGCGCCCCGACACTGAACCTCTTGGCTGATTGCGTTTATTTATTGTAGCTGGGGAAGGTGTCTCCACCAAATGCGTGCGTGTACACACGCGCATACACACACGTACACACACACACACGCGCGTACACACACACACGCGCGTACACACACACACACGCGCATACACACACGCGCGCATACACACACACGTACACACACGCACACACACGTACACACGCGCGCGAATTTCGCTGGCTCTGTTTGCCGGGACCCCGCTCCTCGTTGAGTTCAGCTCCCCCCCCTTCCTCCCAATACAAGAAAATAAATAATGAATGCCTCTTCTCAGCCTCCTCGTTCGGGAACTCGAGAACCCCGGTTTAGTCACAGCTAAGTCTGAGTCTGGGTCTCTATGTGAGTCTGTGGGTCTCTGTGTGAGTGTCTGGGTCTCTGAGTGTCTGGGTCTCTGTGTAAGGGTCTCTGTGTGAGTGTCTGGGTCTCTGTGTAAGGGTCTCTGTGTGAGTCTCTTGGTCTCTGTGTAAGGGTCTCTGTGTGAGTGTCTGGGTCTCTGTGTAAGGGTCTCTATGTGAGTCTCTGCGTCTCTGTGAGTCTGTGGATCTCTGTGTGAGCGTCTGGGTCTCTGTGTGAGTGTCTGGGTCTCTGTGAGTGAGTCTATGTGAGTTTATGGGTCTCTGTGAGTCTGGGTCGGGTATCTATGTGAGTCTATGGGTCTCTATGTGAGTCTATGGGTCTATGTAAGTCGATGGGTCTCTACGTGAGTCTATGAGTCTCTGTGAATCTATGGGTTTCTCTGCGACTCTGTCTCGGTATGAGTCTATGGGTCTGTGAGCCTGTGAGTCCCAGCAAGATGATGGTGATCGTGATGTTGATGGTGGCGGTACGGTAAATGGCTTCCGGTCGCCGAACGAATACCTTGTTAATAGGTAGCACTCATTACACACAAAAAGCTTGCCACAAATGAACCACAATACCTCGCTGCTGATCTCGTCAAGAAACACGAATCATCCTAATGCGACCTCTGCTCATCCTCACAGCAGCGGCTTTTGGCGAGCCACCGAACGGAGATGGTCGCCGCATTTCAGATGCGCTGCTTCGACTGCCGTCTGGAACGCTCTTCCGATATTACGAAGCCACTGGAGCGAGGGCACTTTTAAATCATCGAAGGTTAAAAATAATTTCTTTAAAACTGCTTTGTGTTTAGTTTGTTGTCCTTCCCCCACACCTCCGATTATCACGGTTGGCTACGTCCGGTGCGAAAGAAGTTCAACATACAAATGTCAAATCGTAGTGACCGGTGACTTTAACATTCATGTTGAAGCAGCACGTGACCCACAACATGCTGCTGTCCCTTTAACCAACATGCTGTGATGGAGGAATGTTCAGTGGAGCCCACCCAATGTCATCTCAGACCACATCGTCGTTTGGTGCCACCTGCCATGTCTCCACCAACCAGTACTGCGAGAGGTTGGGAGCCGGAGTGGGTTAAATAAGGAGACATTCCAGACGGCGAATATCAACTCTAAGCTCTCTGGAGCTCACGACGTAGATAGTGCGGGCGGATTTCTGGGGACTCTGTGGGACGGACGTGGCAAAGCAACCAGGGAGCAGATTGGCCGTCGGCGCAGGACCTCCGTGAATGATTTCACTCCGGGGGTTGCTGCCGCTGATAGAGACGTGGAGGGCAATAATCCAGAGTCCTTTCTGCCACCAGCTGCCGACGTTCCGGATATGTTTACGTCATCTCCAGCGGAGGCAACCTGGAGGATCATCATGGCTGCTCCAGCAAAGTCCTGTGCACAGGACCCAACGACGACCAACATTTGGGAGGCGTTTCTTCCGGAGCCTCTGCCTTTCGTCACGAGCTTGTGCAGCGCTTCACTCACGCAGGCCAGTCGAGCCACGAGCCAGCGCCGTGCTACAGCCACGCCACGGTTGAAGAAGGCTGCAGCAGACCCCTCTTGACAAGAATACCTGCAGGCCAATCTCCAATTTGACATTAACGTCGAAAATCGTCGAGGGACTGCTATGTCGTCACCTAATGTCCTATTTAGAGCAAAACAGCCTCGTTCCAAGCCTTCCATCAGCGTCCCGCCATGGTCACTGGGCAGAGGCGGCAATGCTGAAGGTCATCCACAATGCACTCATTGTGGAGGCGTGTGATCGGGTTGATGATAACATCTTCGAGCTGCGTACGGTGTACAGGGTGGTTGGCGTGCTTTCATGGACTGAGTGCTTCGTTACAGGTCGGACACAAAGGGTCAGCCGCTTTGACGATAACCCGTGGTACACACAGGTCACCGTTCACGTGCTGTGTGTCACAGGGACGCCTGCTTGGCCCGGTGTTCTTCCTGCTTTACACCACTGATGCCATCGGCATCGCCCGCCGTCACAGTATCAGCGTGCATTCATAAGCCGACAACGCACAACTTTACTTCCATACGCCAGCTGACTCGTGCGTCTCACACGTCCCACGCCTCATGTGGTGTATCGACGACGGTAGCAACTGGATGACGTGAAACCATCCGAAGCTAAACTTGAGTAGGACTCAATTCATTATACTTGGGAACCCACCATCAGCTTCATAGAGTCAACTGTGAGTCTACACGCAGCAACGGTTGTGACATCCCAGTGTCAGAGAGGGCATCGTGCCTTGGTGTCCTTGCCGATAGCGAACCGGCATTTAGCACTCACAACAGGCGCCTGGCTGGACGGTGCTTCGACCAGCTTCGACAACCGCGCGCAGTCCATCGTGTTCTGACTGTCGAAACTGCGAAGATGCTCGCCCACGCGTCCATCATCATCATCATCGTCACCCACGCAGACTGCTGCAGCAGCAGCAGCTTCGGCTGTGCCAGCGCCGTTCACATGTGGTCACTCAGGTCGGTTTTCAACGCGGCTGTTCGTTTGATAGGAAACAAATATGAGCTGATCACGAGTTTGACACGCGATAAGCTGCGCTGGCTACACATTCAATGGAGGATTGTGTCTAAATTATGCCTACTCATCTGAAAGGATCTCCATCAATCTGTTCCGTCCTATCTCGCCAATCACGCAAAGACAAAGATCCCCTCTGGAGCCGTGTCAGGCTGCGCCAGGGGCAAGTGCTGTTATAGCGAGCACCTAATAAGAACACCGGGGCAGTAGTGTAGCCACAACCAAGCCCGCCGCCGCCTTTGTTTCCCCAGTTCTGATGTTTCACACATGGCAGCAGCGTGTGCTCATTTTAAGGCCGGGTCCATCTAGAGGCGGCCCCAGAATCCAGTTCGGATATTCGTCATTGACGTTGGCCGTGAGCGGGAATCAAACTCGGGGGAGTCGCGGAACGCCCACCCAGCGGAAAAAAACCACGGGGACAAAAACACCACACGCGCACACAGCCACACGCGCACACAGCCACACGCGCACACAGCCACACGCGCACACAGCCACACGCGCACACAGCCACACGCGCACACAGCCACACGCGCACACAGCCACACGCGCACACAGCCACACGCGCACACAGCCACACGCGCACACAGCCACACGCGCACACAGCCACACGCGCACACAGCCACACGCGCACACAGCCACACGCGCACACAGCCACACGCGCACACAGCCACACGCGC